ATGTAGAAAAATTTTTATAAAATTTTTAAATTGCAAATTTTTTGAAAAAAAAATTTTTTGGAACAAAGTTTGTTAAAAAAAAATTTTTTTAAATTGTCAAGTAACTTTAATGTCGTAGATTTTTATTAAAGATAAGTTTTATGAAACTTACTATTTTTAGCGATACTTTTAAGAATAAGAAGAAGTGGAAGAAGAAGTCGGGCATCGTTGTAATGATGTTTTAATAAAGTATGAAACACTTTGGTGACGTTTAAAAGTCTTACTTTTAATGGAAATTTGACGTCTTTTTGAGCAATCTATTAATTATTTTAAAGTATTATTATTATTAAAGTTATTAATAATAATAATTAATAATTAACCTGACTTAGTATCCAGAGAATTTCATGAACTAATACTTCTGACATGGTGTTATCGCTTCTCTGTGAATTTATCAAGAGTTTTAAGAAGACTTGGGTCCCACCAAACTGGATCAATTGAGCAATGGTTGTACGACTGGCGCTTTCTAATGAAAAATAACACTCATAAATATAAAGAGTCAATTCAATAGATAATAAGCTAAATAATAAATCTTACTCGAGTGCTTATTTTTGGCTCCTTTTAATTTCACCTTGGATTGCCGAGGTGCTATACATTCATGCAATATTCCAGTAATGTTACAACACACCGCATTATCTCTACAAGCCTATCGAACAAAAATCATGTTAATTTATTAGTGATTAATTTTTACTAAAAAGGAGTTACTAATTGAGATAATAAATCTTTTTAAAAATTACCTCCAGTAACACCATAAATATTTCTATAACGTTGTACTCTTTGCTCCAAAATGTTTCCAGTGTACGCTCTCGAATTTTTCGATCTGGAATCGTAACAATAATTAATCTATGTTATTAAGAGAATAAGAAAAATTTTATTTCCGAGATAGTTATATGATAAAATCGGTTTTTTTTTAGTGAAATTTAGTGTCATTGCAAAGGTCTTGACTTGAATTTGTGCCTTTTCAAGGTTTCATATCATTCTCACCGATAATCAATTTATATAAGTATTTAGACTCCATTCGAAAATACTCTATCTGTAGACACATACTTAAGAAATGACCTTGTATCTTGTGAACTATTGACATTTTTAAAGATATAAGCTGAGTACCCACATCAATTTTTCATATATTATATATATTATATATATATATATGTATATATGAAAAATATATCAAAATGCATGTGGGTACTCAAATGAAAGCTCTTGATGAGTGTAACATTGGGATGAGCTTATATCTTTATAAATGTCAATAGTTAAGAAAGTACGGTGCAATTTAACAAAAGCCATTATTTAATAAAGCAAAATTTTATTTATTTATAGTTCACAAATCACGGCAGTCACACAGTGACTGCAAAGTTGCTTGTAACAATTATTTTGTTAAAAAAAATTGATATTTAAATTAATGTAAACTGAAGAAATTTTATTGAATAAAAATGTATCAAAATTTACTTGAAATATTTTTTTAACGGTCACAAAAATTGGATTAATGCCAAACTCTTCACCATTAGCTTCCTTCAAAATAATTTACGTAATTTCTCAGTAAATTTTGAGTATTTTATTAGTCTGTTTTTTAGTTTTGTTGTAACATAACATGTTATATATAAATAACACAAATGAATTATCAACTACTGTCGTCAGACATTAGCGTCCTAACAAGTCAACTGTGTTTTGTAATTAATCGTGAATTTATAAGTGATAAAAAGCTTGTTGACAATAATAAATTTTCATTACCTGAAGATGTAATACGAGTGTAAAGCTTAGCCAGCAAACTTTTTATATTCTCTGAATTTTCCTGATGCTTTGGTAAACATTGTCTCAGCTTTTCAATCAATGCTTCATTCATAGTGTCTTCTATTTTATTTATCGCTGACATGTCTCTAAAAAATATGAGAGTTTTAACTTTTGTTGGGTTATGGACATTTGAAGGTGATAATTTAATAAATATACTAGTAGAAGTAATAAAAGTAATAAAATAAATGACGACATTTGGTTAATGGGGCTCTATGAAACACGGCAATTAATCGTTTGAACTTGGCAGACCACCAAAGGGTGAATCTGTCAGTTACAGAAACACAAGTTGTTCCGTTTATAAAATAAATTCTAATGTCAATGTCTCTTTTATTTAACAATTTATTGAGATCAAATATAAATAAAGTGGACTATTTTATTTTATTCGGGTAATAAATAACATTTTTTTGAATTGTTATACGCTAAAATAATTGATATTGATCAGAGTAATTTAAAGTTACAAATTTAAAATGATTTAAAAAATGTAATTACATTTGATCATTGTGAGATAATAACTTATCTAATTTATTATCCTCAACCCAGTGGTTCTCCTTGTCATCAACTCTCGATTTTTTCATGGTCAATAAGATTTTCGCTCTAATTAACAATTCCGTGTTTATCTTTATTTTCGAGTATAATAATAAAATTTCATCTTTCGTGAAATTAAAATGTTGAAATTTACGTTAATTGAGTATGACGGTATGAATATACGTGTTAATCTTTTTTAAATTGCAAATTATCGGTTTTATAAAACGGTTTTACTCGCGGCTCGATTTTAAATATAACTTTCTTATCAATGTTATTATTATTATTTTTAATAATTTAAGTATCGGTATAAAGTACTTTTAATATAATAAAAAAACCAGTTTATAATCTAATTTTTTTAATTTTGACAGTCGTAATTTGTAAATTAATGATTTTGAAACATTTATCATGTAAAATTTTGTGAAACAAATAGTTTACACAAAAAAAAATTTAATAAATTCTAAAAATAATTATGACACTCAAGTTAGAAGACATGTAAAAATTTTTGATTTTTTTTATTAATTACATTACAACTAAAAAGATATTTATAAAAAATTGCACTTATAGTTTTTCAAGTTTTTTACATGTGACATTTTTTTTTTTAATTGTTTAATTGAAATTTTCTCAATAAAAAATTTCTGAAAATTTTGAAATGTCGGCTAACTTAATTTTCATAAGTTAGAAGACGTAAAAATTTTTGATTTTTTTTATTAATTAAATTACAACTATAGTTTTTCAAGTTTTTTACATGTGACATTTTTTTTTTAATTGTTTAATTGAAATTATTTCAATAAAAAATTTCTGAAAATTTTGAAATGTCGACTAACTTCATTTTTATAAATAATTTTACCTTCTTAAATTTACTAACTTTTTTTTTTCAAAATTTTGTCTTTTTTTTAATAATATTTATTAACTATAGATAATAATTAAAACTCAACAATTTAATTAAAAATTAATTTTTATATATTGTAAAAATTATAACAAGAGCGTAATTTATAACAAATTTTTCTTTAGTTTAATAATATTTATTTAAATAATCAAAAAGAAGCGAATAAAATAAGAAAAACTGTTAAAAATTTGCTTTTTATAATACTAAAATCTAAACTATTAGCGAAAATGTTTATGTACATTAAAAATATATATCTTTTATCATTTTTGTGTTGATACTTAAACGCCGAATCTAAAAATATTCACACGGAACCACCTTGCAAATAATGTGGGTTAAAGGAACGCATGGAAATAGTTTTATAATTACTCAATACACAACTTCATAACTTATCATTTGTCATATAATAATAATAATAATAATAATAATAATAACAATAACAATAATAATGATAATTATATATCTAACAAAAGTCACTAAAAAAGTACAAAAAATCTTTATAAAAATGAATAAGCGCGTAAATTTTCTCTTACAACTGTTATTAAAAGATAAAATTTGCAAAAACGAGAAACGAAACGCGCCGAACGACTTTTAAAGTCGGTTTGACGTTTTCTTCAGCCAAAACTATGTTTAAATCCCAAGTGCACACGCGGGATCGCTATTAATAACACGCTCGTTCTTTCCAAAACCTCTCACGATTCTCCAATTTCTGGCTAATTTTTTTTTTTTTGTTTTTCATCTAATTTATTTAGCTTTTTTTGTTCCAGCCTAGGTAATGTATAATTATTTTTGGTACAGTGAGATCTAAGAATCTAAAGACATTGAACCCGGTTATGCTTTTCTATATATATTTGATTTATTTTAATCTTATACTACGTTTTCTTGTTTTTGTTTTCAATGTTTTTTTAAATAATGACGATCATTAAATATTATTTATGCCAAATTTTATTCTGATCGGATCTTTTGATTTAAAATTCTGTTAAATTATTATTATTATTATTGCGGCCAAAATTTAAGTGTATTAATATACATGACTTGGATTTATTATTTATTTTTATAAAAATAATTTGTCATTGATTACATTTTTCATGAAGAAAATTTCTCAATTTATTTTGCAAAAAAAAATATTTAATAAAAAAAATATTGATAATAATTAAATGTTGCATAAATCTGATTTTTTAATTTTTCTTAATAAAAAAAAATCATTAAGAAAATTAAAAAAAAATTTTTTCATTTGTAAAAATTTAGTCATTAAATTATTAATGCAATTAAAAAAATTTTAAGTAGTAATTTATTTATTTATTGAAAAAAAAAATTATTAGATGCTTGCTCCATTAAAAAAAAAATTTAATCATTAATTTTTTACAAAAATTAAAAAAAGGGAATACATTTTTCATGAAGAAAATTTCTCAATTCATTTTGCAAAAAATAACTTTGATTTTTTTTTTCAATAAAAAAAAATATTGATAATAATTAAATGTTGCATAAATCTGATAATTTGTTAATTTTTCTTAATAAAAAAAATTAAGAAAATTGAAAAAAAAAATTTTTTAATTTTAAAAAATTAGTTATTAAATTATTAATGCAATTAAAAAAACTTTAAGTAGTAATTTATTTATTGAAAAAAAAATTATTAGATGCCTGCTCTATTTAAAAAAAAATTTTAATTATTATTTTTTTATAAAAATTAAAATTCATAATTAAAAAAAGGGAATATATAAAAAATTGTATGAAAATAAGTAAATTACTTACTCTGGTATAATTTTAAGAGTGTCACTAGAGTTGTCAGACATTAGGTTGACATTTGTCAGAAAAAAAACAAAAAAATAAATTTGTTTAGCTGTACACAAGAGCGAACAAAATATCGCGTGACTGTCGTGTCAAGCGATTACAGAAACAGACTGACTTTATTCACCCTCGAGTCCAAATGTATACAGGTACAATATTTTACATAAACTTGTGTATGTTATACTCAAAGCCATTGACTTGCTTCAAAAGCAGTACTACTTGTTGATAAACATGACAAGTCTTAACTCCATTACACAATACCCAATAAATCTATCATCAAACTATTTATTAATTAAATTAAATTAAATTACACTATTTATTAACAGAATAAATTGTTATATTCGCGAGAAAATATCAACCCCCAGTCACTACAATGCACTCATTCCAAGTATTGATTCATCGCCTACGGCGGTATGGTTTGAATTTGCAATTAATTTCTTCTTTTTATTCACTAAAAATACACTTTGATACTAACAGACTCTAATTAATAATTTATAATTACTAATTACTAATTATAATTATAAAATTGAATAATAAATTAATTAAACTTACCTAATATTAATTAAAGTTAAAATTGTTTAAATTTTTTTTTAGAAATAAAAAAAAATTGAAAGTTAAGTGATTTCGTTTGTAGTTCAATAGATAGACTGAAGAAAAGTATTGAATTATTTGAATTTTATAAGAGGGAAGATAATAAAAATGATATGGTGTCGAATCGGGTGCAATGCTGAGAACCGAATAAACTCAACTCGTCACGGCATTGTACGTTTATCGCCCTTTTATAACAACAATCAAACAATATATATAATCTTCATAAGTTTCAGTATACTAAATCCCCAGGCATAGTGTAACTTTTCGAGACACGATAGTTCTTCGTACCGTTACGGGCTTATCGTGATTTAAATTCGGGGTACGTTGCCCTTAATTTATCCTCAAACTGCATTGAACACTGCAATGTTCCATTATCCATTACTAAATAATTTTAACGACTATTTAATGCAACCACTTAGCTTCTTGACAATTAAATTTAGTTTTAGTTTTATTTATTAATACATCACTAATAAATTTCATTTTTTTCAGGTTCTGATGCCAGGAAGTTCCAAATTAAATAAAAGATCGCTATCGAGGATTATTTAACCAGTTGTGAAATTTGGCACAGATAAAGGATTTAATTATTTTTGGTTTGTTTATTAAGAAAATATTATTATTTTGTATAGTAGCACCGCAATCAAAGTAAATTGCAACTTTGAACTTGAAGATTTTAATTGAGAAGATTATTTTTATTAATGTGAATATTTTTATAATTTAAATATATTTATGTACAATCATGTGATAGTAAAATCAGCCAGATGTTTGAGAATTTTTATAATAAATCAATTGTGATAAAAAAAAATATTTTAAAAAATTCGCATTCATAATCAGGGTGACGATTGACCTGGAAAACCTGGAATTTGAAATTTCTGGAATAGTCAGTGAAAAGTCAGGGAGTTTTAACTTGGGTCAGAGAAATTTCTAGTTTATTTTAAAAAATAAACTAGAATCCTGTAGAAATAATAAATTATTTCATGAAAATCAAGTTAGCCGACATTTTAAAATTTTTAGAAATTTTTTATTGAAAAAATTTCAATTAAACAATTTAAAAAAAAATTGTCACATGTTAAAAACTTGAAAAACTATAAGTGCAATTTTTTAGAAATATCTTTTTAGTTGCAATTTAATTAATAAAAGAAATCAAAAATTTTTACACGTCTGCTAACTTCAGTGTCGTATTATTTCTATAGCATTCTAAAAATCGTACTGGAGATAATTTTTAATATTAATTGATGTTATTTAATTTCTTAATTCAGATTTCTTCTTTTTTGTGATCAATAATATTCAAAAAACTAAATGGATAATTAATAATAAAAAAAAAGTATAACTTCTAAATGATTAATGATCTAGTCATAATATCAATTATTGATGAAAATTAAGTTAGCCGACATTTAAAAATTAAAAATAATTTTTTTATTGAAAAAATTACGACAAAAGAAAAGAAAAAAAAATTGTCACTTATTAAAAACTTGAAAAACTATAAGTGCAATTTTTCAAAAATATTTTTTTGTTCTAATTTAATTATTAAAAAAAAATTAAAGACGTCGGCTAACTTTAATATCATCAATTATTGTATTTTCAAAAGTTTAATTATTTAATTTAATTTTCAAAAGAAACTGATCTTTTTTGAATAGTTAAAAATCTGTAAAAAATTATAATTTATAGTTCCAAATTTTTACTCAATTCTGGATATTAGATATGAATTCTAGCATAAAAAAAATTATTTTTAAAATAATTTGCAATTATAACAAATATTTGAATAACAATTATTTTTTTGTAGGTTCTGGAATTTCATTTTTGCTCAGGAAAAAGTCAGGTAATTTTGAAATTAGTGTTCAGTCGCTCTGATAATTTTTTTTTAATTTCTTCATGTGAAATTTTTTTAATAAATTTATTTCATGATGCAATATAAAAAAAAACAAAAATAATGTCATAAAAAATTTTAAGATCTGTTAATGTTAGTGTCATACAATTATTTATTGTTTAATTTTATAATTTGTCAGTTATTGAAGAAATAAAGGGATTTTTGTTTCATCCAAAAATATAATTCTATAAATTCTGTCAAATTATTGATTAATATATAAAAGCGCGTATATTTTTACAACAGAACATTTTTAGACTGACAAAATAGTCTTCATGCCCTTTCAAATAAGTCTTTAATTAATAAACTACTAATTGTATAACCTTGCAATAGTTTTTTAGGTCAATCAATATGTAATAAATTATTTAAGTCTTCTTTAATGATCTAGTACAAGAAGAAAGAAGAAAAAAATTTTTTTGGTGGAAGATATTAATAGCATAATTTTTTCTTGAAATTCAGGTGGGAATTATCAAGATTGACATACAAAAGTTTAAAAGTTCATCAATACACATGAAATGAAGCTTTTAATAATTTGATTTAAATGGAAACAAATAAGAAAAGTTTTAATTGAAAAAGCTCACGTGAAAATAATATTTCTGGCATTAAACCTCAGGATAAGCAATAAACAATTGTTAAAGCTTTAATTAATTAGATTTTCTACGAACAATTACAATAAAACAGCTTAGTATTTTTGGCTCTAATGAGAGAAGGTGTGTATGTTTATTACCAGAGTAGAGTATACGTGGAATGAAACTTTTAGTATCAAACGACGCTGCAAGTTTCGCCTTCGAGTTTGTGTGAAAATTTATTTCGTTTGGTAATTATATTAAAAGTCGAGTTAAGCCAACCTTGACCGATTGGGGTAATTGTAAATAATGTTTTATATTTAACTTATCTTAAATTTAGTTATTTTTTTAAGTTACATTACATTTACCGAGTATCAGATTGATAATGACCAGATTGTCATAAAAAATTGATTAACGACCGCCCAGCGTGCCCAATGAGGTGTTATTAAATAATTTTGATCCATATCGAGATCTACTGGGATATTAAATTAAATTACACACAGATAATATTCAAAGCCGAGTATTGAATTAATGCAATTCCCAGTTTGTTAAGGTAATCTTACAGCTTACAGCTTTCGTAATATTTTTTTAATTATATATTTTCTTCAGTTGTTATGTCTCGCTGCTTTATTTATTTTTATTGTTCTCAAGTGTTATTGGGCCTCATATATGTCAGTTCAGTACAATATATAAAACACTCTTCGGTGGTTTTAAAAGTTGAAACTAAAAAAATATGCCAACGGGTGGGGACGGATTCGGGCCTAAGAGAGAATATATAAACTCGTGGGCGAGACTGAAATCTGGTTAGTGAGGATAGTTACTCGATATAGAGTAGTGATTTTTAAATAAATTTCTTTATGTTTTAATTTTATTATAAGAGAAAAAGTTTTTATTTACGAATCGGTTGTTTTTTAATTTTAAAAATGATTGCTCTGCTACTGTTCGCGGGAGTTTGTCGAGCCGCAGTAATCCCCATGGAATCAATGCTGAAAATTCAAACCAAATTCAATGATTTTAGTATTGAATCGGCTAACTATATGCAGTCGCCTCTTTATTCTCATCAACCACGACTGTTTCTTTACAATTATTTGCAAGTGAGATTATTTTTATTGAAAAGTATTTTTTTTTTTTTAATGAACGATCAACGAGACAATGAAAATTCTATTTTTTTTTATTGTTGATATTAGACAACTTAAAAATTTTTTGCAATTAAAATATATTTGTAATTTATTTTTCGACGTAAATTAATAAAAAAAATTTATATTCGAAGTGAAATATTAAATACTAACTTTACAATAAAATTTTTATAGATGATTTATAATTTAAACTTTAAAAAAATTTCTTCTTTTTAATATTTTCTTCTGTATAAACAATCAAAAGTGGATTTAAAAATAAATTTTTGATTGTTTCATTAAAAAGCTTTGTAAAATAACATTTTAATTTTTAATTTTAGAGACTATTTTGATTTAAAAATTTTTTTTTTTTGAAATGACAAATCAAAATTGAATTGATAGAAAAATTTCAAATTATTTGCAACTAGGAAACACTTGTAACTCTTTTTTTTCAACAAAAGTTAAAAAAATAATTTATATTTAAAGTGCAATATTAAAGATTAACTTTACAATGAAATTAAAATTTTTAATTTTAAAATTAAAAAAAATTTATTTTTTTTAATATTGTCTTCTGAATAAATAATCAAAAATGGATTTAAAAATAAATTTTTAATTGTTTCATTGAACAGCTTTGTAAAATAAAATTTTAATTATTAATTTCAAAGACTATTTTGATTAGAAAATTTTTTTTTGCAATGACAGATCAAAATTGAATTGATATTAGAAAAAATTCAAATTGTTTGCAACTAAGAAATACTTGTAATTCTTTTTTTCAAAAAAAAAAAAAATTGAAAAAATAATTTATATTTAAAGTGAAATGTTGAAGATTAACTTTACAGTAAAATTAAAATTTTTAATTTTGAAATAAAAAAAAATTTTTCATTTATAACATTTTCTTCTCAATAAACAACTAAAAATAAATTTTTCATTGTTTCATTAAAAAAATCTTTGTAAATAAAATTTCGATTATTAATTTAAAATAAATATTTATTCTTAACAATCTTATTATTATTATTAATTACAGGTTGATCCACAGAAATCATATCCAGCCCTAAATTATCCTTATGGTAATCCGAGTGATGCCTTCGTAACATCATCATTCAATTACTACGGATCTCCTCTTTATAATTATGGATTCCAATTAAGCCCGGTAAAAATTAATTTTTTTTATTATTATCAATACAACTACTAAAAGCTCAGCAAAGTGTTTCAATTTTTTCATAATATTTTTTATAAAATAGCAGGTATTCACAAATCTCCAGCCATTTATTCCGCACTATGTTCCTCAACAGCCAAGTTATGTTCCTCAACAACCGAGTTATGTTCCTCAACAACCTAGCTATGTTCCTCAAGAGCCAAGCTACGTCCCCCAGCAGCCGATTTCTACGACAACTCAGCGACCGTTCGACGATGACGGGATTGAAAAGCTCGACGAAAAAGTCGATCCTAATCTCGAGATGAATTCCAACAACAGCAATGAAAATTCAGATGACGATTCTGTCGTCGTAGAATCTATCTAATTTTTTTTAATAATGTCATTTTAATAAAATAATTTTTTATATTTATTACAATAACTGTTTACTTACTTTTAATAATTATTTATTTTTAAGTTAGACATAATAAATGATTAATCGCTCTTATCAGTATTAAGTTCGCTGCTCCGGAATTAAGAGATAATTTTTAATATTGAAGAAGTTTGTGAGATTTATTTTTAAATTTTATTTTGATAATATTACAAGTAAATATTATTTTATTTAAAATTTTGTTAGAATACTATGCGTAATTATTTTAATACTTACCTGAAACAAAAAATTGAGTTTGCAATTTAATGAATTTATTGATTTGGATTTATGATTTCTTCTCTAAAACAATAGTAAAGATTATGAATAAAATAAAAAATAGTCCTTGGTCACTGTCAAGATTAAAAAGCAAAAACAAATTCTATTATCGAGAAGATTATGAAAGAACGATTAATAAAAGTATGATTACTTATACCAAAGTCATGATGAATTGCTATTACCTAAACGTCAAAGAGATAACTTAGCAGCACCATTGTCATCAGCTTTGCGACGATCAATAGATCGTCACACAAATAATTATGAATATACATAATAATCCAAATGAACTTATGCCAATTGTCTCTTGACATCAGAATTTCAGAGTATAACCGCAAGACATTTAATTAATTTATTTATAATCTAAGCGTTAAATTGCAGGAAGCTTTTTCTACTTCTGAATAAATTAATTAACAGAAAGAGCCAAAAGTAGACAGTTTTCTGGAACGAGGTGACATAAGTATCTTGGAAGCTGACAATGAGGATCACATCTTGGCATTAGATTCAAAGGACAATCACAACCACTTGACGTCACTGTCCAAGTTCTCGATGGTTCAAGCATTTCTTCACAAATTCAATAATCACTCCCGATAATTTCAATTATTTTACACTGAGAAAAAATAAATTACATTGTATAGAAATATTTTCTTGAAGATATAATTTTTAATTAACAAAGAATTCTTGATAATTATTAAGAGGTAATCGGAAAAAATGTTTAAGATGGAAAATTCATATTATTTCATTAAAATTATTATAAAATAAAAATTATCATATCACCCCCACAATTTTCCTGAAAAACAAGCACCCCTAGAATGCTCCATTTTTTGTTACAAAAAAAAATATTATAATTTTTATTTTATAATCTATACTAATAAATCAAGAGCCGGTTTTTTAGTCCGGTTATACTGCGAAAACTATTGAACCGATCAGAATAATACTTATATCATAAGATGCAGCGTGTTTCGGAGAAGGTTTTAGTATATGATATGGTGGTGATGGCTTATCCGAAACCTATATTTTTTTGACTTAGAAATAATGAATTTTTATTGTAACTAAATTTATTCTATTCGATTATCATTTGTTTGAAATAAATTTTTTCATTCTATTGATTATGTTTATATACTAGGCAGATTTCTTCACTTATGAGGCCTGCAATTTCTTGAACTGAAACTTTCAATGCTCATTAAAAATTTTTTTTTTTTTTCATATCAATTATTATTCATTATTGTAAGAAGGACACGGGAATGTTATAATGATTGCACATTGAAAGTTACAATTAATATTAGCTAGAATAATTACATGGATAAAAGGTGCATACCAATTCGATAGAATTGGGAATCTGTGCAAGTCAAAACAATACTCTATTTAAATTTTAAGTCTAGATCTAAAAAATGCAATTTTAATAAAATAATATGAATTTTTCATAACTTTAAAATTTTTTCCGGGATTCTTATCAAGAAAGTGAATCTTGATAAAATATTTATTTTTCTCAGTGTAAGCTTAATTAAAAATTAAAAGCTTAAAAAATAAGTATCTCTTATCATATTAAACCATGGAAAATTAAAAAAAAAAAAATTAACAGAATAACAATTAATGAAAATTCTTATTAAGAAAACTAAAAGCTGACATTGTAATACGGTGGGTACGAAGCTAGTTTTAATAAACTAATAGCTAATTATTATAAAGTATGTACGTGACTAAGTGGTTGGTAAAAAATCATGAGCTTCTTGTGATTGGCAGTGGAGGCGGCGGAACATCTGGGATTTTAGTTTGGCTCTCTTTTTTCATTTCTTCAGCCTTTTGAAGATTAATTGGTCTTTTAGCTTGTTCTTTTTCTTGAGGAGCTAAATTCTGAGTGTCGGGATGCTCTGGCAGCCCCGAGCCTGCTACTGGAAGTGGACCTGCGGGTGGATAATTAAAGTAATAATTTCCTGGCGCTGCACGAGGAAGAAGATTATAGCCGTAGTAATAAGGATTGAAGTAAACTGATGACCGTGTACTAGGATAATAAGTCAATGGCGTTTGTTCATTATCTTTTCTCTTTATCTTTTCTTCTTTAGCCATGTCATCAGCCTCAGAGTCTTTTGAGCCGTCCGTTTGCTTTCCGAAATTAATGGATACTTCTTTCATGTCTTTGTTCACTGATTCTGTGTTGGGATTGTCTGATGGCTGGTTTCCTGGTTGGTTCGGATTCGGCATTCGCGGGTCCCAAGGCACGGGACCTAGTGCTGGGTCCCAGGGTCCGTACGGTCCCCAAGGTCCGTATGGACCTCCGTAGGGTCCGTAAGGCCCGTAATTTCCGTAGTATCCATAGGGTCCATAATTATACGGATAATATCCACCGTAGTAATAAGGCGGGTAGTATCCAACCACCTGGCTCTGAGACACTGGCTGGACCACTGGGTAAGCTTGCGATGGTTGGAGATTCTGATCACTTGTCACCACCACATTGTACACCTTAGGGTTTTTTAGCAGCTTCGGCGATGGTTCTGCTGATATTTTTAATGACAGTAAACATGTCAGCAGTAATATCTGTAAAATTTTTTAAAATTAAAATCATAATTTGTGGTGTAATTAGTATTTTTATTTTAATTAAGTTACTAGGACTATGTGACTGCCGTAACTTGTGAACTATAAATAAATAAAATTTTGCTTTATTAAATAATGACTTTTGTTAAATTGCACTGTACTTTTTTGGTTATTGATGTTTTTAAAGATATAAGTTCATCCCGATGTTACACTCATCAAGAGCTTTCATTTGAGTACCCACATGCATTTTGATATATATTTCATATATACATATATATAATATATATAAATATATGAAAAATATATTATAGGTACTCAAATGAAAGCACTTGATGAGTGTAACATCGGGATGAACTTATATCTTTAAAAACATCAATAACCAAAAAAGTACAGTGCAATTTAACAAAAGTCATTATTTAATAAAGCAAAATTTTAATTTATTTATAATTCACAATTCACATAGTGACTGCAAGGTTGCTAGTTTAATATTATTTTATATATTGTAAAGTCTTCAGATTCTAAGCTGATTGTTCATAAGTTGTAGTAACAAAATTTGGGATTTTGAAGGTAATATTGTTGTTTTTTTAACAGCTTTTATATCATGCTTATTGTACACAGGGGTTATTAATGTATATAAATATAAGCACGTGTATATATATCTTTAAAAATATTAAATAGTTCACAAGATACAAGGTTATTTCTTAATTATGTATCTAGAGATAGAGCATTTTCTAATGCAGCCTAAATACTTATCATCATATGTTGACTATTGGTGAGAATGATTTAATCATATAAATATACTGGCCACTAAATTTTGCTAATTCTCTTAATAATATAGATTATTATTGATTATATAAAAAGATGATGATGATGAAGAAGAAGAAGAAGAATAGTATTTTATTATGAAATTATAGGGGTGTGATGGCCCTCAAGGATTTATTTCTTACATCCGCTCTTTTGACACCATTAAAAATATTATCAATAATTAGCTTATATAAGAGTTGATAAAATATTTACACAGAATAAGTCAAGTGTTTAACTAAAATCATTTAGATATTGAATATATTTGAATAATTGAGAGGTGAATTTACCGTGCGATATTTTATTTAATGGTCAATAAAATTTACATATGACTTGATGGATTGGATCATGAACGTTTGAGAGTGTGAGGTGAAGAATAAGAATCGGTTGAAGTTAAAGATTCAGACGAGGGTCAGGGTGAAGTTTAAGTTAGAGAAGAAATAGCAAAAGAAGAAATATTGGTGTAAGTACTTACGTGAAAAGGTAACTTCATATTTTATTGAGCACCAGTCTGTAAGCAGTAGATAACAAGTAGCAAGATTCTCGACCTGGTACGTTGTATATACGTGATCGAAACCAGGGTCTCCAGACCACTCCAGACGTAAACTCCCACTTACATACCCAGTTGGCGAAAGTACTTGGTATGGTATATGACATTATTATATTATAGTACTAGTATTGTAAGAAGACTTATAAATAAATGTCTGGACGTGACTGATGAATCGGCGATCAATTTGTTTACGTTATTATTAATTTAATAACATTTCTTCTTCGGTAACGAGATGTATAACTTTAACTCTCATTAAATTTATTAATTTTTAAATAAATACTCCGTTGGAATTATTGTTATTATTTATATAGTTTATTATCATTATTTTAATGGCAAAGTAGGAGGAAACTTTTATGCGTATGACAGATCAGCAATGAGTGGCCTTGAGCCTCTGGCATTTTATATCGGCTCAATTGGAATGTAACACATTCGTCTTAATAATAGTAATGGAAAATTCGGTAAAAATATTACCAGCAAGAGTACAACTGGCGACAATAGTAACAGAAGTCCTGCGTAAATAATTAACCACCAAACTGGTGAAATTCCGGCTAGTGGATTTAACATTGTCAAATAATTATTTTATCGTTGATTAAATATTTAATTATTTCTTCAGATATTTATCATGGCTGTTAAGTCATCAGCGTTTCATCGTCTGCTTAATTTATTCAGCATCTCTGTAAAAAAAAAAAAAGAAAAGGTGTACAATTGTCTTAAATTTCATTAGACTTATAGATAATTGAAGAAAAGAATTTTTTTTTTTAAAAGAATAGGTGAAAATTTTTTATGGTTTTTATTCAAGCGTTTAAACTGTTCTTGTTCAGGGAGTTGCGACGCTTGAAAGTATGTATGATGCGGTCGTCCTTGTACTTACCGTAGTAAAACTGACGAAAGAGGTAATGAAGCAATATCTGCGATAGAGAATGCTTTATGTTTTTTATAAATACTTTATTTTTCGCTTCTTTGCTATCAACATTGGCAATAGTATAAACCACTGATATCAATTATATAAATATATACTGATAAATAATTATATACATCAACTGTGCTTCCAATGACAATTTAAATTGTCATGCACATGTTTGTTATACATGTCTTAGCATTTGTATCTTGTGATAACAAAAAATCCAGTAATAATAGAACTGGTCATAATTGCAAGAAAGAGAAATTTTCTTCTTGCGCAATCTTATTACACATAATAGGATTATTCAATCCATCACATATGATGTTTAGATTACGTTATGATGTATGTCAACCATAAAATAGCAAAATTTTTGATAAAAATTTTTTTTTTCTTCTTTTTTTTAATTTTTTTAAATAAGTTGTCTCTTGCAAAATATATTCCAGCGGTCTTGATAGTTTCCGGTGATCTTGAGTGATAAATTTATTAATGATAGTATTAGTAGTATAATAGCAATGTGTGATTAGTAGTAATTTAATGTGACAAGTAGTAATTTAGTAAGTAAAGAGGTTTAATTATTATCAAAGGATTAGATTATTTATAATTATTATAAAAATACATACTCTGTTGAAGGATGAGCTGGATTACGATAAAACTGAACGATGACTGTATCACAAACCGCGTCTGGTAGACTGAGCGGTAGCTGGTGTATGCTTTCCCTTTCTTTAGTTGTTGGACAGTGACTCGGGTCTTGAGTTCGTGGCTGGTAGCTTCTGGCCGGTGATATTAACAACAACTGTATTCCATAGTTGTAGCAATGTTTTTACTTGCACACTGTTTATTTGTTTCATCACAGATACCAAACGCTTTATCGGTGTAGGAACTAGTTGGCCGTCAGTTTAAGCGTTATTTTTTATCCTTTTTAGTTCACTAATAATAATAAACATTCCAAGGACAAACAACATAAGTAGCATATTTAAGTTAAGTATTTCATGTGTTAAATATATTTGCTAAAATATTTATATGTATGTGTATATATTTAAAATTTAAATTACAAATTTTTAACGACGATAATATTTTTATCTCTAACATTAACATGTAAAAAAATATACCAATATAAAAATAATAATTTGCATTAATACAAATATTTAATTTTATTAATCATTTTTTTTATCGAAACCTGATTATAATTTATCAGTTAACTCGGGAACAGCTTTAAATAAATCAGCAACCAATCCGTAATCAGCAACTTGGAAGATTGGAGCTTCCGGGTCTTTGTTTATTGCTACTATTGTTTTTGAGTCTTTCATACCAGCTAAATGTTGAATTGCACCTGAGATACCCACGGCGATGTATAAATCCTTAAAATAATAATAATAATAATAATAATTGATCAATCAGAGAATTAAATAAAATTAGCAAGCAATTTAAATATCTCTTACGGGAGCAACAATTTTTCCAGTTTGGCCAACTTGCATATCATTGGGTACATAGCCAGCATCTACGGCAGCACGTGAGGCACCAACAGCGGCGTTTAGCTTATCGGCGAGTGAGTATATCAGCTTGAAATTATCACCAGATTTAAGACCTCGTCCACCCGATACAACAACGCTAGCTGATGTCAATTCCGGGCGATCTGATTTACTCAGTTCTTGTTTAATAAATTCAATTAAATTTGATTTATACTCCCCGGCTGGCGCCGGCTCTGTGGATGCGTTTCCACCTTCCAAGGGTAATGCTTCAAATGAAGTGCCTCTGACTGTAACAACTTTGATGCTATCTTTGACCTTTACTGTTTGTAATGCATTGCCAGCGTAGATAGGTCGGACAAAAGTATCTGAAGACTTGATATTGATAACGTCACTCACTGGGGATACATCGAGTTTTGCGGCGACCTAATTTTTTTTAAATAGTAAATTAGTTTTACATAAACATGAAGCTTTGATAAAAGTTTGTCTACATTTGTAGGTGTAATTTTGTACAGAGAATTTCTTTTATCTAGATTTAATTTAAATTGGACTCAGAAAAAACAAATTAACTTGAATGAAGAAAAAAATTCTTGAACCAAAAAAATAATTTGAGAAAGTTTCATTGTTTTGAATCAAGATGAAAAATTCTTGAGTCAAGTAAAATTTATATCATTAAAGTAAGCTGACGTTTTTAATTTTTTGATTATTTTTTACTTACTAAATTAGAACTAAAAAATATTTTTTAAAAATTGCACTTATAGTTTTTCAAGTTTTTTACAAATGAAATTTTTTTTTTATTTTTTTGTAATGATTTTTTCAATAAAAAAAAAATTCTAAAAATTTTTAATTGTCGGCTAACTTAATTTTCATGTAAAATTTACTGAAACCAAGAAAAATTTATTAATTTAAGAATTTTTCTACTCAAATCAAGAAATTTAAATTCTTGAAAATTATTTACTTGGTTCAAATAAATTTTTTTTATAATTAAGTATTTAGATTAAGATTTTGATTTAAGCACAATATTTGTAAGCGAAATGGGGATCCGCTGTTTGTACCCCAAAAAAAAAAATGGGCAAATAAAGTATTATTATTATTATTATTATTATTTACTTGGTTCAAATAAATTTTTATGAAAATTAATTTAGCAGATATTTGATAATTTTAAAAATTTCTGTAACAAGTAAATTATGGTAAAAAAAAATTAGAAAAAAAATTGACATTTAGAAATTTTTAAAAATTAAAAATCCAATTTTTCAAAAATAATTTTTTGGAACAAATTTATTTGTTAAAAAAAATTAAAAAATAATCAAGTGATTGCTAACTTTAATGTCATAAATTTTTTTTTCTGTGTAGAATATAATTTGAAGCAAAAAAGCTATTCTGTGGACATATAAATGGAAATGATTTTAATATCAAGATCAGCAGACGTTTGATGATTTTAACAATTTTAAAAGGATAAAATAATTGTTTTAAATATAAATAGAAAAAAAAAACTAACCCGTGGTATTAATGCTTTACCAAAAGCACTACCTCCAGCCATAATATGGCTGAAATTAAATTGTTTATGAGTCGCCAGAATCAAAGGCGTCATAGACTCTGGAGTAAATCCTTTGAAAGCATCGCTCTCAGCGACCAGTACTTTGCTGATGCCATTAGCTTTACATAATGCTGCCGCAGCTGGTCCGCACTTTGTTCCAGCAACCAGCACAGTTATATCACCTCCGATTTTCTTCGCAGCACTAAGCACTGCCTGGGTAATTGGTGTCAGGGTTTCATTATTGTGCTCCGCTATCACCAGTGTTGATTCGAATCTTGCCAGAGATCCAAACTGTAAGATTAACATATGTTAGTCTCTTTAAAACACATCCTCAATAATAAGTAATTAAATAAATAAATATTTATAATTTAAAAACTTTAAACAAAATATTATATAAAATATTTACTTACTTTATTATGCCTTGCACTTTTTAAACAATTTGCAAACATTTTTTTAATTATCCAAAAAATTTTCAATAATTAAATATCACTAGTGTAATTTTTAAATATAAAATATATTTAAATTTCAGTGAAATATTGCAAGAAACTTGTATGTTTAATTTGTGATATTAATACTAAGTAGAATAAAAAAAAATATTGAGGGCAAAGTCCCCTCGGAGATAATACATCTTTAATTCTTAGTGTAATAATTTAAAAATTACTTATAGAGGGCAGCACTCTTCAGGGAACAGCAGCGCTCAGTCAGTTAGTGAGTTTCTGTTCAACTGTTTCAGCTTTAATCCGAAATATTGACAAAGCTCTAACCTAAAAATTTGTGTGCAGTTTACTTGATAAAATTTTAAACAATAAATGTGTAATAAATAAATAAAAATAATAATTAAGTACAATGGCGGATGTAAGAGATATTTTGGACATTGAAAGTCCAGCTGCTGGAGAGCTAACCCGTGAATCAATCTTTGGCAATAAAAAAACTGTCAAAAAATATGATTACAAGGTAAAAAAACGTCCTGAGGGAATGCACAGAGAAGTGTTTGCTTTGCTATGCAAAGATAACACTGATGTTCCGCCAATTTTTCCAACTGACACGGGGAAAGGGTACAAACAAGCGCGTGCTAAGCTTGGTATGAAAAAAGTCCGTCAATGGAAGTGGACACCGTTTACGAATCCTGCACGGACTGACGGTGCTGAGTTTCATCATTGGAGGCGAGCTGCTGACACTAACAAGGAGTACCCGTTCGCTAAGTTTAACAAAAAAATTCCTGTGCCGACGTACACCAACACGGAGTACAACCAGCACTTGACTGTCAACGGATGGACTCGCGCAGAGACTGATCACCTGTTTGATTTGTGTCGTAGGTTTGATTTAAGGTTTATTGTCATCCAGGACCGGTGGGACACCAGCAAATACTCCCCGAGGACTGTCGAGGATCTTAAGGAGAGATATTACCAAGTTTGCGGAGCGCTGACCAAAGCTAAGTCTTACTCTGATAAAATTTACGTCTTTGACGCGGATCATGAAAAGCGGCGCAAGGAGCAGCTGAAGAAATTGTTTGAAAGAACGCCGGAGTTGGTCGGAGAGGAGCAGACTCTGCTGACCGAGTTGAGGAAAATCGAGCAGAGAAAGAAGGAGCGCGATCGCAAGACTCAGGATCTCCAGAAGTTGATCACTGCGGCTGATCATCAAGCTGACCCGAGGAAAAATGAACGCAAGCAGGCTCTTAAGAAGACGACCACTACCTCGAGGAACAGGCCAAGTAAATCTGATACCGCTTACACGCAGAAACTCCAAGTTGTTGAGTCCGCGGGTATCAAGTTCCCGGATTTCAAAAATAGTGGAGTCAGTTTAAGAGGACAAAGATTGAAATTGCCCAGCAGTTTGGGCCAAAAAAAGATTAAAGTCATTGAGACTATGTTGAACGAACTGAAGATGGACTTGAATCCTCCGCCAACTGAAGAAATTTGTCAGCAGTTCAATGAATTGAGGAGTGACATTATTCTGCACTTTGAACTCCAAGGAGCTCTTGTTACTTGCAATTACGAATTACAGTCACTGCGTCATCAATATGAAGCCCTGGCACCCGGAAAAGTAAATAATTGACCTTATATGTTTTTTTTTTTTTTATTTTAATCAATATGTCAATAAATGTATAAATATTCATTTATTTTTAAATTTCAGACCTTGACGATTCCTGCAGCATTGATGCCTAAAAATGAAGAGGTGAAATCAGAAATAATCGATGTTGTTGGGTGTATATAATTAATTATTAATTTAAATTACCAATTTAATTTTACTGGAAAAGCTGAAGTCATTCAATTTTTTATAGATATTGATGCTATTAAATTGTATCAATAAGTATTAATAATTTAATTAATCCGTATTTATAATTAATTGACGATTATTGATATATAATTTTGGAAATTAAAATATGATATTAAAATAATCGTAATCGTTATACGATTTATCTACACTGATAGAAGGATTTCTTAGTATTTAATAATTCATTTCTTAATTATGAAATAGTTATTATTATTTACGAAATGATTTTTTAACATTTAATAAATAATTTTTTTCTAGTAAATAAAAAATTTTAATATTAAACAATAATTATTTTATAGTTAATAATTATATATTGATATTTAATATTTATTCATTAATACTTAATGAATTTACTGCTCAGCGTATTGTAAGGTGTAACCTAACAATATATATATATATATTTACACGCAAAGAACAAGATGACACTGGATATCATTCCAGATTATACTGAGTAAAAAAAAATTTCAGATCGTAGTTAGTAAAATCTAGATTATAATGAATATAATCAAGATTATATTACGCGGTATAATCTGAATTTTTATTGATACTATTTAAAATTTTTTTTCACCACATCACAGATGATGTAATCTGGGATGATACCCAGTGTCATCTTGTTCTTTCCGTGTACTATCAAAAAATGATTGTTTAATATTAAAAATTGTTTTTTAACTACAAAGAAATAATTTATTAAATGTTAAAAAATTATTTCTTAAATAATAAAAAATATTTCTTAAATACTAAGAAATCTTAAATGCTAAGAAATTCTTCTATCAGTGAATTGCTTTTTATAAACATGAAGAATTTTTTTAATCATTACAGTGTAATTATTGGGAGAAAAAAAACTTATGGTAATGCTTGTAAATACAAATAAATAATACGTTTTAAATAGTTACTTATATCTCTGTGTATTTTATATTGTCGACAAAAAGTAACAATGTACGGTCAAACCGTATAATTTATCTACAACAATCTACAATAGATTACAATATGTTTTATCTTTTTAGTTTTTATTTGTTTATTTTTCATGAAATATTTTATTCATTTTATTTTATTTATTCATTCAATTAATTTTTTTTTTTTTAGGCTGGTGGAGAAAAAGTAAAGATGGAGAATTAGGAAGAAGGAAAACATTTGGATGGTCCAATTTGGCCTCCTAGCTTTCACTCCATTCAATTTATTTATTAATTGATCATTAGTTTTAATAAAGTAGTTAGTTTTAGATTGCATCAGTTGATTCGGCCTTTATGGCGAATTACTTGACATTATTAGCTGTACTTGGTACAAATTGATGTATCTGGCAATAATCAATTAATTTTTTAGCCAGAATTGAGGCATCGAATATTTTTGTTTAATAATTTAATTTTATTAGAGGAAAGTTTCAAGAGTTCACAAGATAATGCAGTACAACAAATCTCCATCTCTAATATTTTAGAATTATTATTTCAAATTGATAATTATAATTGTAATAGTAATTATAATTTATAATAATCAACCATCAACTTTAATATAAATTTTATTAAACATAAACGAAAATATATAAATATATAGTTTATAATTTATAATAAATAAATTACAAGTATATATTTATTTTTAATAATAACTGTTTGTGTTTAAATCGAGGGTATTATGAACTACCCCAGTAGCTTTCCTCGTACATATTATGTTAAGAGTTTGACAAATAACTTATTAACGCACGTATTCACTCATTGACGCTAATGTCAGGTAATTGATAAAGCGAGAAGACTGTATAATATTTTTTTTAGTAATAAAGAGCGTTAGTAGTTTTTTTCGAGTTATGATACTTGAATTTTTATGAAAGGAGAAAATGGCAGCGAAAGTATTTAGCAATTGATAATTTTGATTATTACTTTTATTTTTTAACTCTTTTTTTTATCATCTTTTATTGAACTGCAACATACCAGTTATTATCATGCCTTTGCACTGAGGAAAAAAATATTTTTAACTTAAAATTTAGTTCAAATAAAATTTTAAATTAAAGAAAAATTGTATTAGTGTTTAAAAAATATTTTTTTTAATTAAAATTATTTTTTTTCATCAATTTATTGTGATATTGAATGATAAAAAAAAAAAAAATTAATTTTTAGTCAATCATAAAATTTTTTATCACTGAAATCCCTGAACGTGCACGTCTGCGTTATCGCAAATCCACTCAATATTTTTTTTCTCAGTGCAATTGTCAGTTTTTAATATTTCCGTAGACTTTTTTTTTTTTTTTTTTTTTTAATAAAATTCTATATTTGCACTTCAATCATTCGTCAGCAATTTTATTTCTTTCTTAGTGACAAGATCGATCGAATTAAATATTTTTGTTTAGAATAAGTATAAAGCGACTATAGGAAGGAATCGATTTTTTTTCAAGTGGAAATATATAATAAGCAGCATGAATTTATAACTGTTCTGAAAATAGTTTCAAACATTGTAGTAGAGTCGTGAGAGATATGCTGTTTTATTAATTTATTTACTCTTCATTTTTTTTATAAATGTGTACGTCAAATAATTTTTTTTTATTTTCATTTCTGAAAAATCCTCAAATAAATTCCCTAAAATTTCGATACAATTTTAACCGTACACCTTTTTAAAACAATAAATATTGATTATAAAGAATAAATAATGATATCCATATTCATTAATAATAATTAACAACTATTAATTTATAAATTTTTCCAATATTTCAAAAATTCGAATTACAGCACACTCATAATTCTCAGTTATACTAAAAGCAAGGCGCAGAATTCAGACTACGAAAGTTATGTTAATTATTTTAATTATCAACTGGCAAGTATATTTCTTTATTTACGTCTTTAAGTAACATATTCAATAGTAATTTTTAATGCATATATGTGTATGATATGATAGACTTTATAATTTTTAATAAATCTCAAACAAGTTAGCAACAGACCAAAAAGTTAACGGACTTGGTAGATTATTAATTGTCTTTTCATCATTTTTTTTTTTTTCGTTTAGTAATAATTCAATAATAATTCAACGTGTAACATGAGGAACCGTGCTCAGATTTATTAAACATAACACGGTCACATAATTTTTTTATAATATAATATAATAATATTTAACTCCGTAACACATATGTCCTGCTACAGGATATGTCTTTTAACAATTCTCAATACTTACAAACACAATAAGGCTGGAGCCGAATAATTATGGCAAAAATACTCAAATTATAAAATTTAATTTTTTTGTTAATCAAAAATTATTTTCAAACTGTTGGATAAAATTATTTTAAATTTATTATAATAAAAAAATTCATAAAGTTTATAAAAATTCCAGTGTAAATTGAGAAAAAAAATTAAATTCTGATGCGACATTTTAACTGAGGAACATATTTTATAAGTTATTATTATTCCAGGCCACGAAAACTAGGAAATACCTTCAAGTTAATAAAAACTTGAAGAAGAAAAAATTTTTTAAGCACTTTGTCATAAAAATAGAGCGAATCGTTATAAACATTTTAATGCAGAGCATAAAAAAATTTTCATTTTTAAAGTTGCTCTAATTTTTTTTATCATACATTTTCTGCAGAGAAGAACGACTAAAAAAACAAATCTAAAAAGGTCGCCCGATCGATTTTTTAGGACCAAAAATGAGCGGAAGCACTGTTGTTAAATAATAAATTTTTTGTCCACAAAAATAAAAAAAATTATGAAAATTAAGTTAGCCGACATTTAAAAATTAAAAAGAATTTTTTTATTGAAAAAATGACTACAAAAAAAAAGAAAAAAAAATTGTCATTTGTTAAAAACTTGAAAAACAATAAGTGCAATTTTTAAAAAATATTTTTTTGTTCTAATTTAATTATTAAAAAAAAATCAAAAAATTAAAAACGTCGGCTAACTTTAGTATCATAAAAAATTTATGAAAATTAATGTAGCACATACTTAATAATTTTTTAAATTTATTAACAAATAAATTATGGCAAAAAAAAAAGTGACATTTAGAAATTAAAAAAAAATAAAAAATGCAATTTTTTAAAAATAATTTTTTGGAAAAAATCTTCTTGATAAACAAAATTAAAAAATTGTTAAGTGACGGCTAACTTGTATGTCATAAAAAATTTCCTGCAATTTATACTAAAAAATTTTTTATAAATTAGAAAAAAAATATGAATTTATTTTTGCTTTAATAAATAAAAAAAAATTTTCAATCAATTTTAGAGAAAGTAATTGCAATTATTGTATCAATATACCGATACATTAATTTAAAATAAAATTTTTACCATAACTATTCGGCAACACCCTTTGATATTTTTCATATTATAGTTATAAACAATTAGCACTCTTATTGATTTACATAAAGTTGTTATTAATAATAGTCACATAGCACTTTTTCTACTTTGTTTCATCCCTTTACCTTTTAAGTACAACAACAAATATATAGATATGTATAAACATATATACATATACGGATATGTACAGTACAACATAAATGTATATGTATATGTGGATATATGGTCAACATTTACATAAATAAAATTCAATAAATTAATAAATATAAATAACAAACTAATGATAAAATTTTTTGCACGGCTCACATGTGTTTGTTAAATTATGTGACGTGTATTAATTATTTTAAAAATACTAATATTTTAATATTTATTATTAATTATTATTTATTATTTATGAGCGTACGTTCATCTCATTCTCTCTCTCCCTCACAATCGTTAGCGTTCTAATTCATTTTAAAAATCAAACAATACTCTAGTTAATGAATTATCAATTATTTTAACTAATATATATATTTATTTATAGATTTATTTGTATAATATACTATGGTAGACAACAACGATTAACCTACGCATGTATTTAAAATTTTCTGCTCTATATCGTATTTCGTATATGCCGTAAAAATTTTGTATATAAGGATATAATAAATGTTAAGTATTTTTTTTATATTTATTCATTATTTATTTATATATTTATATATATATTTTTACTGCGATCGCGCAGTATTCGCAGTGGGGCCAGTATCATGAATTGCGAGACTATTTTTAATGCAATTTAAACATCAATTTTTTAGTTCCCTTTTTTGTTCCTTCTTTTTTTTATATTTTTTTTTTTTATTATTTTTTAATTTTTTTAATAATAAAACATTCAACAGCTATAAGTAATTTATCATGTCGATTTAATTACGGCTGTGAATAAACGCGATAAAAAAAGTACATTACATTTTACTAATTTTTAAAATGCATCACTGTTATTGTTCCTGTATATAATTAATACATAAAATAACATAACTAATAATAATAATAATTTTTTTTTTAAGTAATCTCCTTTTTTTTTTGTACAAATACTTTATTGAAAACGATATCAGTCGTTTTTAAAAATTATTTTTCAGCAAGAAGAGAATAGTAATAATTACTGTACAACAAAACAAATACATAAAAAAATAAACAGCCGCTTTTAAAAATTACTGCGACAAGGTAGCGAATTACAAACATTTATAACAACTTTCTAAAATTATAAATAATTTTTTTTTCTAGCTCATGTTGCACTTATCTACTCATCATCGACGATGACAAGGTCGGATAATCAATGACCAGTCTTGATTAGTTTAGTCGTGTCACTATACAATAATCACGTTTATATATAATAATATATATCTTTTTTGTTATGATAATAATAATAATAATTTGAATAATCTCAAAATAATCGGCACAGAAGGCGAATATTGCTTCCATCATTAATTCGATACTGACTCCGAAAGCGATCGCCTTAAACATATTGTAAGATTGCGTTTTTTTTTTGCATAATTTATTTAATATAGTTCCTATTTTATGTTTAATTTTTTATCTACTGTCGCAATCGGTGTTTTTAAATGCGAACATATGTTCTCTTTAATTAGTTTATCTGTGTTATTTATTTATAATAATTATCCACAGGATGCGGTGGTCGTTGATTGGGAATTATTTAAACAATTTATTTATCCGTTCTATTCTGGAGAAAAACAGTTAAGAGATTTTAAAAAACTTTCTTCTAATTTTAGTCTGATAAAACATATACAGTTAAATGGTCCAAATTTCTTTTTTTATAAATTAATTTTACAAGTAATACAATAAAATATTCAAGCTACAATCTCTTTACTTTTAGTTTTATTTTATTTCGTTGGTTCGTGTCTCGAATTTATTATTAAATTATTATTTTTCTTTTAAATAATTGTTTTTTAACAATGACAATTTTTAATTAAATTATTCAAATATGTATTAATTATCAATCAGTAAATATACATATATATATATATATATATATATATATATATATATATATATATTAACTTATACATATATATGTATATGTATATTGATAGTGATGCATTTAATTTTTTAACAACGCTGGTGGACGGGGTGAATTCTATAGTATGCAATTTTAACGCTATAAATAAATATAATCATGATAATAATATTAATAATAATAATCATAATAATAATTTTTTTATCGTTAAATCTTGTTATAATTTTATATTAATATTAATACGATACATGGAAAATTTTTATAATTATATTGACCTACCTATCGATTAATAATTTGTCTCTATAATTATAATAATAATTTATATCAGCGTCATTGTCGCTTAATTATTTATTTATATTATATTTTCGTAATATTAAAAACTTTAACGTTCTAGATCTTACACGAGTGAATTATCTAATCTAATACCGTTACTAATCATAATCAATAATAATATATTTATATATCTAAATTTAAACGTCTCTTTCTCTGATATGTGCGTTCATGCCTTGTCATTTTTATTACGACAAATATATGTATCTATATATATTTTTTTATTCAAATATATATAAGTTATAATTCAATTATAACATTTCATTATTTTTTCAGCTCACCTTTAACTTGATTTAGCGATCAGCATATGTTATGTTATTATAAGCCAGATTGCCTTACCAAGTTATTAAATCCCCCAAATCGACAGGCCAAATTTTTATTTATTTTAATTATATTTAGTAAGTAATCTAAAATAAATTCAATAAATCAATCCGGTTTATTTATTCATCGCGATTTTTTTTTTTAATTAACGGAGATAAGAAAATAGCAATTATTATATTTATAACTTTTACATTAGATAAAAATTAATTTTATTAAAATTGCAATTTCTCTAATATAACTCAATAATTATAATCATACTATTTTATTTATTTTATAGAATAAATTAATTAAATTGTACATCTAAAAAATTTTAAATAATTAGAAGGACAAATTGGAATAATTATCATTATCTTTTCTCCGTTAAAATTTAAATTGTTTAATTGAAACAAGTAGTGTAATAACAACTCACATTAATTAAAACTATAAAAATTTTCGAATTATACGGTAACAATTTAACAATAATTTTAATTGACATTGAATAGTAAAAATTAAAAAACTAATAATTTTTTTAATTTATTGCCATGATAAAATTAGAAAATCACGGAGAGGAGGATTTGTTATTAATACAGTAAGAAGGAGTGAAAGTAAAAGGGTCACGCGATGCAAAACACGCAAGTTGTGTGAGCTGTAATCACATCACTGTTTATTTATTTTTTTGTTTGATATTTATTTTACTTTTTTTTTTTATTAATTGTACTTGTAAATCAAAACAAATACGATTAATGAAAAAATTCAATAAAATAAATAAATCTGTCATGGTATATTCATTTAAAATGTTTACTTTAATTTTCATCTATTTACTAAGCTCTAATTTCGCAATGGGGCGTCGCCATTTATTATTCGCGGATCAATATACTTCGGGAAGATCGTATTGTGCATAATTAACTAATTTCATTTATTAATATTTTTATTGTTTACTTTAATAATTATTCATTCATTTATTTATATTATTTTAATGGATAATATTTTCATTATTTTACACCTAGATAACTACTGTACCGAGTAACGCTACCTCCATCGTACTTCATACGCCGCGATCGATTTTCAAGCGTGTTATGAAAGAAAAAAATAAAATAAAAAAAAAAACACACAGACTCACTACCGCAAAATCGATCGCATTTGATTACAGTACGAATTTTATTTTGAGGACTCACCGACATTACAATTTCGCTGTACATCCAATTTTATGATATGATCACGATCTTCAACCACTCATTTTACTCTTATATTTATATATATCATCATCCAAATTGCTCCACCAATATATCACTACTAACAATAACACAGTTTTACATTTATTTAATTGTTCTTCACATTTATATACACATATATAAATATATACGTATATAAAAAAAACTTAATATCTTAAATTAACACGCTCATTAATTATAAAAACGTCAGTATTTTATAAATATATATATATATATATACACACACTATCATCTTCAAATAAATAAATAATTATTTCTTCACAACAAATTTAATATAAAATTAAATTAAGATTAATTTCAACTCCAAGTAATCTTTTTTAATTACTTTTTAAAATGATCTTGAATTCAATTTGATGGCAATTTAATAATCTAGGCCGCAATTAGGCGCTTAATAACCTGGACATTTTTTAAATTTTACTTTTCAATATTTTTTTCCACGCCATAATTTTACAATTTCAATTTTAAATCCACAAATTAAAAAAAAGAGATCCTGATGCAGTTAAAAAAAAAAAAAATAATAATTGATAAAATTACTGACACTCTAAGAGAACTTGTTTGCTTCATCGCCGAAGACTATGACTAAGCTCCTCCGAATTATAGTCTAATCGATTTAATTATTACATCGATTTATTAAATTATTTTTGTTCTTTATAAATATAATGTAACATATACATATATATATATTATATTTTTACGTAATACAAAATTGCGAAAAATTTAATCCTATCAACTATAATAACCTCGCGGGCAACGAGGTAGGCGTGCGAAGCTCTGTTATCAAGTTCTTAAAATAGCTAACGAGTGTCTTGATTAAATAAATAAAAAGCGAACCTTATTATATTTTTTTTTTTTCTTACAGTACCTAATATAATACCTGAATAGTCAACCAAACAAAAAGTCGAGTATTATTTATATAAATATCCATATAGTTTATACTGACGTTCTTATAAATTAATATGCCGATTTAGTCTAGATAAAAAGACTATGACAAGGACAGTTTTCAAGGTTTTATACATATTTACAGACCTCATTGAATAACAAATCGATTATTGTAGTTCCGTTGGACAATTACATTAGAATTAAGGGTGTAATTGTCTTCTGATCAGTCGGTGAGTCGAGTAATTTAAATGCGTAAAATTCTTAACTTTCTTCTTCTTCTTCTTCTTCTTCTTGATTTTTAATTAAATCTTCTTATCTATCTTGTTAATCTCGTAACTATTATTTTTGTTTTTATTGTTTTTATAATTAATATAAATATTATTGTATTTGTCGTCGTTGATGTATACGTCGCTCGTTTTATAGAGTTCCTAAACAGGACACACGAGAATCTCGTATTCAAACATAAGCGATACTGTTACAAAAACAAAGTACAGGAGGAACATGGTGAATCCGAGGCCACGGTTCATTCGCCAATTGAAGCAAGCGATACTCATAATTACAAACAGCAACATGCAGAAGAGTATGGCGATACTGCAGACCATCCCGACAGAATTAACCTCCACTGGTTTGCCGTAAATCAAACCGTACAGAAGCCATGGGACCGGAAGCCTGTTAAACATTAATTTAATAATTATTATTATCCTACCATAATTCGTATCATGTTAATGTTTTATCAAACTCATTATCATTATCGTTAATATTATACTATATTATATACACTAATATACCGCAGTTAGTATTATCTGGATTATCGCAAATACTAACACATTACCTCACCAAAACCTCACATTATTTATGTAATTATCGTATCTTACAGCTACTGATACTCAAGGGTGACTCTTATTGGCTAATATCACAATGACAGTAACAATACTAACTGTTATTTTTATTTTCATTGTTATCTACATATATAATTAAGAGAATAAGAAAAATTTTATCTTCGGCATATTTTTATGAGAAAATAGGTTTTTTTTTTTTTTAGTTTCATTAGAAAGGTCTTGACCCAATTTGTAGCTTATCAAAATTTTATATACTTTTCAACCATAATTAATTTATTATAATAAGTTTCCAGAGTAGTTATAAATAGATTCGAATTTCATATAATTAAAAGAATAAGAATAATTTTTCGAGAGGCATATTTTTGGTATAAATTAAATATTAAATTTTTTGTTAAATATTATATTCGATATTAAATATTGTACTAGTTATACGACATCTTGGTAAGCTTTGTAAATATATAAATTTATATTTACTTTATGTATAATTCTATTAACCCTGTTAATGGCGCAAGCTGTTGGGTTTGTTTTTTTTCAATAAAATAAAATAAAATAAAAATAAAAATAAAAGGGATTTTTGTAGTTAAATTTGGTAAGATAAGAAAGGTCTTGATCTGAATTTGTACACTGATAAAAATTTTAATTTGACTCAAGAGCAAAAAATCTGAACCAAGAACACCAATTGGAAGAAAATGAATTTCTTGAGCCAAGAAGAAAAATTCTTGGGTCAAGATATATTTTTCTTCTTGGCTCAAGAAATTCATTTTCTTCCAATTGGTGTTCTTGGTTCAAGATTTTTGCTCTTGAGTCAAGTTAAAATTTCTATCAGTGTACCTTTTTAAAATTTTATGTAATTTTTTGTGACTATTAATTTTTCATGTTAATTTTTTGGAGGAGCTTGAATAGTTTGTTGTTTCTAAGAGTTTGTATCAGTCACATTTTCCATTAAATTAATGGTAATTGATCCTGTCATAGCAATATTATTTTTTAAATTATTTCAAATGTTCCCACATTATTGACATTGTGATTAAAAAAATTGAAAAATCATGAAGCCAAAGTTCTTTTATTCATAATTTATAATTCTTAATAATCACATAGTGACTCTAGTTTGCAAGTTGTAATTCAAGTAAATCAGACTAATATTTTTCTTGTTAATAATTTATTTTACTTTAGTGCGACGTTTCGTTGGTTAGCGCCTACTTCTTCAGACACATAATCCATAAACATAATATAAAATACAATGTAATGTAATCCATAGTTATAAAACAAGCCTATATGCAATAAAATTAATCAACAATAGTCAGGTATAATTTAATACATTATTTTTACCATGAAAATTATTTAACATACTATTATTGTTATTATTAAAAAACCTTGCTGTATAATTTTCATAATTTAAGTGAATTTTATATTAAGTATATAATATTATATATTATGTACAATACATGGAATGAAAAATTTACATTTTTTTTTAATTGTCATCGAATTCCTTCCATGGAGAATTTAATTGACTACTATGGATTATGTTACAATGTATTTTAAATTATATTAATATCTTATGTGTCTTGTAGTTGCTAACCAACGATAAATATCAACAAGAAAAATATCGGTCAGATTTATTCTAATTAATTATAAATATAGACCCAATTAACATAACTAGTAATTTTAATTATAATAGTTTCTATTGAAATTGTGGACAGAACTTGAGAAGCAATTAATCAAATTAACACTTGCCCAACTGTCACATCGAATATATTGCTGCCGACAGAGCTAGAGACTGCCATGTCACCGAAACCCTTTCGTGCAACAATTACACTGGTTATGAGATCAGGAATACTGGTCCCAGCCGCCAGGAATGTAAGACCCATTACTTCGGGAGGTATTAATATTGTGTCGCCAGTTACGTTCGCCCACCAGACCATCAGATACGAGTACGCTGCTATCCAGACAATCGATCCAAAGAACGTCACTATGAAGAATTTTTTTCCTAAAAATAATACAGTTTAATTTTAGTTCTTTTGATACAACTCCGGCTGCCCAATTTTAAAACACAGTAACTGCATAATTTTTATACCTGATTTTTTTTAGTATTGCTGCATTTTTTATAACTTTTAGACCTTAATTTCAAGTATCTTTTTTTAAATATTTATATTCAAGTGTTTTCTATTCATAAATCAAATTTTTCATCAATTTGGCGGGTAAACTTTTTTTTTAATAGGAAAAATTGGAAAAAAATTTGAAATGTTAGTTAGTGTATTTTGAAATTGGGCAGCCAACTCGTTCCAGCTACGTTTTTTATTCCTATCTTCTCTGTATTTTTTATAAATTTTTATTTATCTTCAATTGAAGATTAACAATTAATGACGTGAATCAATTTTTTTTTAAAATGAAAAATTTATTATTGTTTAAAATCGTGATTTATAAAAATTATAATTGTAATATTATAAAAATTTTCAGATCAAAAAAGTCCAATTAAAAAAGAATTAATATTTTTTTTTAATAACTAAACATAATTATTAATTAATTATAAGAATAAAAATTCTTTTATAAGATCAGAAATTTACCAGGCTATTATAAAATTAATTTTCAATAGCATGTAATAATTTGGATTTATTACCGACAGTAATAATAATAATAATTTGACCTTGATTGTTGTACTTGAAAAATATTTTTTGTTCTTGAAAATAATTAGTTCTAGTTATTTTTATTATTTCATTATTACATATATTGATCAATAATAATACAAGGATTTATTAGATCATGTTTTACCTCTCGGAGTTCGCGTGTCGGGTAAAGTTAGCCAGAGAGGAAATAAAATAGGCGCAACTAGAATATACGTTAGTCTCTTTTTTGGGCTAGTGGGCCACGTCATGTCTAGCGCTTCTGGTGGTTCATCTTCTTCACCCTACAAATATAAACATTATTTCTTATTTCTTATTTGTTCATATACAACAACAATAATAATAATAATAATAATAATAATAATAATAATAATAAAAAACTATTGATTAGTACGGACCGATTCAAGACCAGCGTCAATGCCAGCAGCTATTCCGCCATTAGGAAGTTCCTGGATACCAGCAGTGGTACCAGCAGTTGTTGTGGTGGTTGTTGTCGTCGTAGTACCTTGTGATCCCTGCTGAAGTTGAAGCGCCGTCTCTTTGGAGACACAGCCCGAGTATTGGGCAGACGTTGACGTCGCAGCTCCATTCTGTGGCTTTGTTGCGTCCAAGAGGACTTTCAGTGACGCTATTGCGTGCAACTGCGTCGCCTTCTCATCCACTTTACCTAAATGTCCAAAAACCCCTGTCAGTATTGAGGCACTTTCAACCCACAGACTCAACACCAAGCAGTAACAAGTGTAACTGACACATGTGTCGTGTCGCTAAACATACTCAAACCATTCTAAATGTGTACATGCACTTGTTAGAACAATCATCAAAACAATTAACTTTGTTTAATAAATATTGTCTATTAGTACTAAATATATATACACAATTCATTTCATACCAAGTCATTAAATTTTTTTTTATTTCTTCAAGTGTATTAAAAATATCTTACTCGTTCATTTTTAGAATTTTGTAAAAATAAATTTGGATTTTTTTTACTTTAAATTGAAATTTTTAAATATAAAACTATGTTTTTTCTTTTTTTAAAAATATGTGAATTTTTATGACACTGAAGTTAGCAGACGTCTAAAAATTTTTGACTTTTTTTTTTCAATTAAATTACAACTAAAAAGATATTTATAAAAAATTGCACTTATAGTTTTTTAAGTTTTTAACATATGATATTTTTTTTTTTTAATTGTTTAATTGAAATTTTTTCGATAAAAAATTGATAAAAATTTTCAATTGTCAGCTAACTTCATTTTCATGAATTTTTTTATTTTTTACTCCAAAGTCATTTTTTAGCAAAAATATTTTTCAAATACTTGAAATATTTTTCAAAGCGCAAAGTTAAAAATGACTTTAGAAATTTTAACAAACTTTTTTATCAGTTATATTTCTAGAAATTTATTTTTTAATCTATATTATTGAAAAGATTGAAAACAATAAATTAAAAAAATTGAAAATTTTTGAATTTTCTCTTTGGATTACAGCTAACAAATTTAAATGATTTGAAAAGGAAACTAACATTATTTTAAATTAAATAAAGAAGAAATATATTAATTTTCATATTTTTTAACAACCCATGTTTGGTGTTATTTATTTTATTATTTTATAAAGTAAAATTTTGATAAAATATCGCAAAAACTTTACAATTATTATTCTATATCGTATTAAATAATAAATTCGAGTATTAATATTTCTTATATTTTGTTAACGATCAAAATGTAGTGAAGTTAAGGAGTAAGGCCCCATGTAAGGTCAGCCATCATTTCAAAGCGCTACTAAAACAGCAGCGCTTCAATTTTTTAGTTTTTTTTCACAATAAATAGAAAAAAAAAAATAAATTACAAAAAAGAAAAATGTTAAAGCATGATTAAGAATTAATAAAAACCAACTCTAATTATCCAATCAAACAATTAAAAAAGTTTAAATATCAAACTTTATGAAACAAATAAATTTTTCAAACATTTTTTAAAAATTCATTAATCATAGAAATTAACAGCTAAAAATTCCTCGATAATTCAAGGTGTCTCTCAAATGGACAAAAGATAAATTTAAAAAAGTTGTTTAATTTATGATTTATATTTTGATTTAGTTTATTCAATACACATAAAGGCATAAAACAAACTTGGCGATTTGATTGAAATGACCTATAAATATAAAATATTTGATTACCCAGTGAAGCAAACTGAATAAAAACATAAACCAAAGAGACGTAAAAATAAAACGAAAAGAAAAAAAAAGTAAGTACATAAATCTGTTTTGCTCTTAAGCAGCATTCAAAGCAGCCCCTATAACTCTAAATAAATCCTTACTGGATGTAATTACACGTGAGAGTATTCTCTAGCAAACGTCTTGAATTGTCTTTAATTATTCACAAGACCTGGACTCTTAAACGTACCTATTAATCTTAAACTATTAAATACATCATTAAGCATCATTAAGAATTAAACAAAACTCCAAGGACTAACTTGGCTATTAAATAGATTAAATGTGGAAAAAAAAAATTTTAAATAATAATAATAAAATTTATTTAATGAATAGAAGTTTTTTAAAAATCAGATTCTCTATGTATTTTTTTTTTTTTTAAATAGATTAAATGTGAAAAAAAATGTATGCCGTTTCATTTTATTTTTAAATAATAAAAATAAAATTTATTAAATGAATAGAAGTTTTTTAAAAATCAGATGCTCTATGTATTTTTTTTTTTCAACTGTACAAGTGAGTATGCTAGATTTAGTCGCTATTGACTATTGCTACAGCTATTTCACAAATATTAACAATCTCTAGCATTAAATTCGGGATTTCTGATTCAGTGATTCCAGAGAGCACTTTACGATCAGGTCCAACGGAGGCAGTTGATGTTTGGGCTTTTTTTTTCCGAGTTCACCGCGACTATTGAAAAACGATCTATCTTTTAGGTATATACTATGGCATTATCGAGCTCGATGGGTGTAAGTAAGAGGGGAGAGATAACCCCTAGTTAGACAGAGATAGAGAGATAAATACCGAACGGGTGTGAGTATGTCCCGTAGGATCGAATAACCGACCGGCGAAATGGGCAAAGGAGGCTAAGGTCGCCCGAGTGGAGCGAATGAGCACGGGCGAGCGCTGGCAACGCGATCAAAGTATCGACCCGTCGACGCTTTACTTCCAGCACGCTTTTATTACAACAACTAACTCGCTATATTTTATCTACGTGTCTTGCTAAGAAACTTTTTTACGATAATTACTTCGGGTCAGAGTATTTAAGGGTTTTGTGGAATTTCAGGTTGTAAAAATTTTGTATTGTTTTGAAAATTTTAAGTTAATTCACTGGTAGTTTAGAAAATATCATTTTAAAAAAAAATTAATAAGGTTTATAAGCTTTACTTGAGTTTAATAAATTTAAGTATGAAAAATTTGACAAATTAAATTAAAATAATAGTATTTAAATAGAATTTTGTCAGATAAATTTATAATTTTCAATTTTTTGTGAATAATTTAATTTTGAGGATTTTCTTTTAAAATAATTCTGAAAATTTTAAAATAAAAATATTAAAAATAATTATGAAAATTTTAATTAATGCACTGGTATCTTTCAAAAAATATTCTTTAGAATAATACTTTGATGAATAATAAAATTTTAATTTTTTTTTTTTTTTTTTAATTTCTCATTAATAGTATTTAATTTAAGACTCAAAAATAGTATTTATTTTATCCAGTACAAATAATTAGCACCTACTCAAGTGTGAAGTTTGTTATATGAGCCGTTAATTCAAGAACCAATTTACAAGTGTATTACAATTATTTACTCAAGATAATTACAATAGTTTTAGATACAAGTTTAAATAAGAGAATCATCCGTAAACTTTCAGCATAAAAATACATTGAATTACTAAGCTATCCACAATAAATTCCACTTCAATTTGTTCATGTTAAAGTATGAGTCACATGAGACGACTCTCAACCCTGTTAAAACAGTTATTTTTCATACATATGTGCAAAGATAAAAATTCTGACAAAACTAGGCTTGGATTGACTTTACAAGTTTAAGCCTATGGCGCTTTGTCACTGAGACCTCGCAGGTAATAAATGGTCCCACTGCGTTCGCCCTGTCTGCAAGGATTACTACCTTTGCACGTAATGTATCGAATAATATTCTTGCAATATCGACAGTGAAAGCTGGTTTTGACAAGGAAGAACTTGAAATTCTATAAAATTTTTTGGTTGAGAATAAATTTATTAAAACTGATTTTATTTTTGTTTCTTCCTAATGACATACATGAAAACATAAAATATTTATATTAACACATATCTTTGCCGGAAAAATGTATGAACAATTTCTAATATGCATCATAGTTGAAAATCATATTTGTTTTCTTAAATGTAGGATTTATCCGCTTTATCATACATGAAGAAACATAAATTATTGTTATTATTATTACAAACGGACTATAACTGACGAGACAACGTCTTGAATAAGTAATTTACTTTTTACCAATTTTTGGATATATTTCCAAGTTTTTTTTTTATGGACAGATATATTTAATATACATAAAAATAAGGTAATTAAATAGAAGTGAGGATCGACCGTTTTTCAGGCTCAAAAAATTAAAAAATAAATTTACAAACAATGAAAAAAAAATATATTGATGTTGAGAAATTAATGCATCAGCTTAAAATTGTTGATAAAAAATCAAAATTTTAATTTTAAAGACTTTTTAAAATGAATTTTTTGAAAATTGAATTTGGCAAAGAGTAGAATATTTCGAAAAAATATTTTAGAATAATGTTTATATTTTTTCATGGCTGAAAATAGGAGGGGAGCCTTCCATTTATGCAATTATCAATTAGCAAAAAGTAATGTAATTTGCATATCAATACTCACGTTCTAAAATGCAACCCACAAAATTTGCATTAAAAAAAACATTCTTAATTGAAAATTTCTTGAATAAAGTCAAAGTTTCTTAATTTAAGCCATCAAGAAAATTTATTCTTGCTTCAAAATAACTTTTGTCTCCCTTAAAATTTTCTTGGTGCAAGAAGTTTTTTTTTCTGTGTGGTAACTCGACTTTTTTTGAAGTATGGATTTATAACAATATTATGAAGTTCATATTGAAAATTTAAAGGTCAAGTTGTATAATAACTATTTTTACGAATGTTAAAAATAAACCGTTTTTACCATTTGCTGTAAAATTTTCTAAATGTGGGTTACATTTCAGAATGTGAATATAGATATATGATGCATATAAAAAATTGTTCATATAAGTTTTCAGCGAAAGTAGCGTTATGTGTGGGTAAACAGTTATACGTTGAACATATAAATTTTTTTTCGTGGGAGAGGGGAAAAAAATTTCGATATTTTCTAATAAACATGTGGAACGTAAAAACAGAGCGAGAAAATTTACTTTTTGGTACGTGAACGAGTAAAATTGACTAAACTATAGTTTATCATGAATCATATACTCCATCTCCGCGAATAGAAACATCGCTCGAGAATCCAACTTTTGCGGTCGGTATTACAAAATACATACTTTGAAAGATTCTTCCTTTTCTAGCAAAATGTTTTATTCTTCTGACGTTACGAATTTTAAAGTTATAAGAAATTTAATGTCCATCTGTCTAAAATACAATATTTAAAAGCGCTCTTTGCTGATTGGAGCCTTTCCAAGTAACTTATATGCTACAAAAAAAAAAAAACATTTTAAAAGTTCTATTATTTTCTGTTTTTTGGCTGCAAACAATTTAAATGGTAGCCCAGCAGATTTACTTGTATGTAATTGGACTTTAGTTTTTGAGGTTTTGGCGTAAAACTAAACCAGTAATTCCCCAATATACCAGCAACTGGAGACTAGAGAATAGTCAGGGGGGAAATGGGCACAAGGGATGGAATGGTCTGCAATTAGTTTAGTGGTACTTGAAAATACAATAAACTACTTGTAAAGTTCTGCACGGACGGGCAATCGGGACGAGTTTGATGGGTAAAATTTTAATAGACACTTGAACTATGACAGCAATAGACTCTCGAGGGCTCTGCTGGGAATTTATAAATTTAATAATAAAAAGTTATCGTTTTGAAAAGTGTTTGAGGAAATCCGAAAAAGAGGAAAAGGAAGATGGAGAGAAAGAGATGTCAGTGTCAGCAACTGTATTTGCCCGGGGACTGAAAACTGGAGAACAAAAGTTTTTATACGAATGGATTCTTTTATTTTTTATCAGGTCAATTGATTTGAATTATCAATGGAACGCTGTAAAGTGGCGTGTCTTTATCCGTATGCCAGGATATCTGGAGGGCTCCTGAGTCAGCCAAAACGATGAGAACAAACACCCGGTGGTGGAAGTGGTGGTGCCAGCGACCGAACCACCCAGAGGCGACACATTACTACTTGGTGAGGTGAAAGGTGCCAGGAGGGTAAAGAGGTCACCCGATATTCCGTGAATTCCTTCTGCATCGCCTAGTTGGAATGTCGCCCGGCTACGACATTCTCTCAGTGTTCCTGCGCTCATTTTCCTCAAAATCGTAAGAGCTTTCCAGATCATAAGTGTGTCTGCTCTAGCATCCATCCCTTACCTATTGTCAGACACTTTCAATTCTCTCGACTTTTTATCTTTTCATCTCTCGGGTTTTTATACTTTTTATTCTTTTGACAGTTTTTAATATATTATATTTTTTTCTCTGGGATTTAAAACCTCCAATCACCACAGTTATTTAATTACTTTCATTTTAAATTATGGTATTTGCATGATGAAAAATATTTTTTCTTTTATTCTACTAATGTAATTGAAATATGGATTTTAACAAGCGCGGATTATTAAACACTATGTATTGTTTGTCTTTAATTAAAAGATGGTAGATGTTTGCTTAGTATTTCAAGCGAGGATAACCTACATATGTGTACTTTAAAGTTTTGTAATGAATTTTATTAAAAAAATAAGTTTTAAAGTTATAAGATTTTTTTTAGAATTTACAAGATTAAGAAAAGAAATGTTTTTTTTTTTTTTTTTTTTAAATTGAAAAGTATAAAAAAAATGTGTTTATTTTTAAAAATTAAAAGAAATGATTAATTAAATAAAAAAATTTCTTTGAATAAAATTAAAGGATAAAAAATGAAAATTTTTCGTACAATTGAGTAATTTAATTCATGTCAGGTCACAATTTTTTCAAGCTTAATTGATTTTTTAACATCTATTCTTAACCCAGATTCAATAAGTGAATTCAATCTTGTCAAAAGAATTAAATTGTTATTCATAAGTTGTCTAAAATAAACTCTTTTTAATTCATAAGATTCTATTCAGAATGTGGAAATGTTTTTCAGAAAGTTAGAGCTTTATTTTTTGTTATGTTTGGGAATCGTGGTTAAACAGAATTATCAGAACCTCTAATTACATCACGTCACTGACTTTTAACAAAATTAAAGTTTGCTCGTGATAATCAACCTTCATGTTTCTTTGCGCTTTCAAAGAGATTTATTTATAAAATGTGGTAACAAGAAATCTTTTAAAAAGTTTGAAATAAAATAATAACAATGAAAAGAAATAATTTAATTGGGAAAAATGGATTATTTAAAAATTTATGATTGAAGTTTATTTGAAAAGCAAAAATAATTTTTGCTATTTAATGATTCAATGTAAGTAGAAGAAATATATTTAGAAATATTTTACATTGTCGAATCCCGGGAGTAAAACGGATTTTATGTTATTTATCTAAAATTGGTAAATTACTATAATTATTTTTGGTAAATATTATAAAGCTAACTAGGCCGGACGGCTAGGGGTGAACCTAAATTATAATAATTGTTTTACATTTTTAAAGAGCTCCAATCACCATTTTTCAACTGATTAATTTCTCCCAATCCGTTTCTTCTTTTTACATTGTGTTTTGTTATGTGTGTACTAATATATTTGGACGTTTCGAAACAAATGGTTCTATTAAAGTTGATATATTTCTGACGTTTAGAAATTTATTCAAATTACAATTATTATTTCAACAGAATTAATGACTAATAAAATTAATTATAAATTTTTTTTGCCAGTAGTTTAAATAATCATAATAAATTTTTGAATAAATTTAGATTTATTATTTATGTAAATTATCATCAATTTGATCAAAGAGAAATAATGATGAACCAAAAAAATAATTTTGATGAGTAAATTTTATTTGATTAAATATTTTTTTATTGGTTCAAGATTTTTTTTCTTGAATTAATCAAGTTTATTTTTTTATTAGTGCAGAAATTTGTGACAAAAATAAATTTTTTGGCAATTTTTTAGTTGAATATATTCAAATTATATAAAAATTAACTTGAGAAAATGATAATTAAATAATAATTGACTACACGGAAAAAAGTAAACTGTAATAAATAACAGTCGATTTATAATAAGTAATGATCAACTGCTAAAAATTACTATTTCAAACAGTAAAATCGTGATTTTACTATTCACTTTATAATATTTACCATTTAAACGTTACAATTTACTCTTTACATGGAAGAAAATACTATTTCAAACAGTAATATTCGCTATGTAAATGTCTAAAATGTTTAAGTATAATAATTAAGAATTCAGACTTTGATATTTATTATTTCGTACCTAAAAAATGATCTTATGATATGTAAAAAGTATAAAATAAAGTTAGTAAATTTCTAATACAAGCAATGTCAATATTTACAAAGTAAAATGGTAAATTTTAAACGCAACGCTAAAAATCAAACTGTAATAATTGACTTGCTTGGACAGGTAAAATGTATATTTTAAAAGAATAATTTTTACTGTTTCAAACATTAAACTCTCCCAGAGTGAGACCCCCTTGTCTTTCATCTGAGTTCCCCTTCTCCTCATAATATGGATTATATATTGAAATGGCAATTTTTACTGTTTGAAACTGTAATTTTTTAAGATGAAAGAGTCGTTATTTACTATAGTGACAGCTACTAATCACTTATTTTGAATATTAAATTATAAATTGTGGCTTTTATACTTTCTACATTAAGTTCAGTAATATTTATATTTTTGCCACCCTGATGTCCGCTTTACTGTTTGCAACTATAAAAATTAACCGGAATCCGAGTGAATATTACAGTTTACTTTTTTCCGTGTTAAATTTAATTAACACAAATGATTTTGATGGGCATAATAAAATTGTTGTATTAGAGCACAGTAAGAATTAAATTTTTTCAATCGTACATGTTTGTACTCATTGAAAATTTAAACAAAATTTTTATAAAAATAAAAATTAAAACGGATATTTAAAATAAAAAAGATGATTGGAGAAAAATTTGAGGAAAAAGATAAGAAGGTATAACCTCGAGCTTGCGAAATGTACAGTCGGTAGTTGGGATCGATAGAGCGGTTTGTAGGTCAGGGTCTCGATACACTCGCTCTACTCGCTCTACTCGCTCTACTCGCGACTAGGTACGTACTTGGGGGATACACTCGAAACATACACATAACAGCGATAGTTGTTAAGTACATGTATTTGAATACATCCATACACGTATATCGTACACGTAGGTAAGGGCATTTGGTGGCTGTTGCAAAAGCAAAAGCTTTCGGCCTACATTATCGAAAGCAGAATTAACCTTCAATGCCTACGACATCTTTTTGCCCTTTCCACAAGCGACCCCGTGGCACTGCTTCCCTTATTTCTTTTTGTTTAGCTTTTTTTAACCTTTTCTCTTTTCCTATTATACATTTTTACTTTTTTTCATCAACGTAACTCTTTTTTCCCCAACAATGACATTCTCACCTTCACTCGAGAGCTCACGAGTTTTTCCAGTTTAAGTAGACACACACGACTAGGATAATTGTGTAGAGGACAATTACGCCTTTACATTGTCTCAAGTTCAACTGGACTATCAACTAGCTCTTGACAATCTGTACACGACTCTACCGTCCTCTGGGTTGTGGATAGAAAAAATTTCGATAGAAAAAAAAATAAAAAAAGATTCAAGCAGAAGAAAGTTGCTCAGTCTGGCTCTGGCTCAGAATCGCTCTGGTTAAACAGATCTAAGGGAAATAATTTATTAATTACAGTGGTTAGTGGTTAGTGGTTAATTGGGTTGTTAATCAGTTCATTAATTAATTAATCAATTTATAAAATAATGGGCAGCGTGCTAGCAAGCAGGCAGGCGAGAGTGAGAGAGTGTTGAAGTTATACCGGCGCGAGACTGACCGTCGTGGAGCGGATCAATTGTGTGGATCATTAGTTGTAATAGGCCGTGCCTAAACTTGGCGTGACTCTCCCTTGATGAGTGTCGAGCACCTGGATGAGATGATGACTGCTCGCAGCCTTGGCCACTGCTGCTGCCTCCACGACTGCTACTGCATCCGGCATCGGCGTTTATCGCGGCACCGCTGCTGCCGCAGGCACCTGATGTTCCTCCCACACTCGTCTCACTGCTATTCGTTGCGTTTGGATGCTGCTGGAACAACACAAACACACACACACCCCAACATACACCTACATTTACTCATCGTTAATAATTCACAATTTTTTTTATTATTAAATATTTATTATTCATGCGCCTTTATTTTGTATATCCCTGTCAAAAGACTATTTATTATTTACTCATATATTCATATTTATTTCACCTAATATATTTTCCCCTTGAATAAATTACGCTCGGTGCATTCGAAAGTGTTAAACGGGAGAAACCATTTATTTATTTAATTACTCAAATTATTTTTTAGCTTTTTTACTATAAATTTTTTCGGTGAAAAATTTTTCTGTCTAAATAAAATTGTATTAAATAAAAAACATTTATGGAGATGTTAATTAAAAATTTGTTTTTTCTAAAATTAAAAAAATAATTTAAAAAGTTCAACTTTGTTAATATTGATAGTATCAAAATAATTTTTTTATAAAAATAAATTATTGAAAAAAAAAAAAAAAATGATCATAAATTTAATTTGGATCGTTGTTATAATTTATAATGATCGCTGATAAGAACAGAGTTAGCTTTCCTGTGTCATATCTGTGCTCAGTCAGCTAACTTTAAATACTAATTAATATATCGTCATCAGATTATCGTAGATACTATTAATAAACTGTTATAAGTTTTTTTTTTTTTAAATAAATAAATAAATAAAGAATTATTTATAAACTATCAAAGAATACTGAAGTGGTTTAAAATTAAACACAAACTTTTTATTTATTGTTCAATAATAATTTTATTGTGAAACTTTACGCTGTCTATAGTAAGAAAAATAATTTTTATTTATTGCAAAAAAATTTTACTAAGGTTTGATTATTAAAAAAGGACTTTATGTAATTTAATTATTAAATTTTACATATAATTTTTTTATTTATCTCGACGAAATACTATATAGAAATATACAAGAATTTTAATTTTACAATTAAAAAATGAATAATTTTAGGACAATTTTCCGATTGAAAAATTTTCAATAGACTTCAGAGAAATATACATTTTATATTTTATATTAAAAGAAGAAACACTTTTAACTGAAAGTGAACAGAAAAAAACTAATTAATAAAATGATCATACATTTAACTAGAACTAGACATCAAACACTTTCGAATGCACCTTTAAATATCACCAATTTATCATATTATGCATTTACTATTTAAATGAAATTTGTGTGCTTGTAATTTATTAATTTATTCACCAATAACTAACCTCCGTGTGAAGGTGTAATTAATTAACAAATAATAGGTGATATTTAATCACCGAGATTATAGATAATAATAATAGTAGTGATATCTTAATTTATAATCAGGATCTAATTATGTATTTGACTATTAATTATAAACCCTAACTATATTAATGATAAAAAAAAAAAACAATTTGACCGCAATAGCAGTGATAACAATTAATAATAAACATGATGATGATGATGATGATGAGACGACTTTATTTTCCGAGTTGTTTAATTATAATAGTAAATGAAGAGAGAAGCACTTGAATTTAATTTGCACGGTTAAAGTTACCGTTTACTGTTAGTGCGATAAGAGTTTGAAAGGATGTGAGAGAAAGTGAGAAAGCGAAAGAGGGCGGTTAAATGATTAAATGAGATAAAACGTAAGTTTATTTTAGAAAAATAGTGTGTACAGAGGGGAGAATTAAATGAAAAAGATAATAGATGTTTTTTGATTATAATACTCAGGCTGCAGGGGATGATGGAAACCTGAGTATGGTCATACACAATGAAAACTTCTCGAGGTGGTTACTTTGCGAGGGTTAATTGCAGTGAGTGCCGAGAAGTCGGTCAGCTGCCTTCAAGACTCACTATATAAAATATATACACGTGTACGTGTGCAAGTACATGTGGATATACACATATATGTATACCTTGTCGCTTCACACTGACTATCGATTCTTGGTTTTAAAGCATAATATAAAGCGATCTTGCACTTGCATTTTAGTTATTGTCTCTGGAGATTAATTTCTTAAATGCGTTTTTTCAGCTTGTCAAACGATGGCAATTAAGCTTAATTAAAAACGTCTTCTCAGGAACAAATGTATCAAAAAATCATACACAGATAATCAAGATTAAGTATTAGTATTTATGTTTGAGTTCTTGGTAAGTAGTACGTGTATTATTTCTGTCGAACGTTCATTTTCTTTGTATGAAAAAGGAGCCTTGAGTTTTTATTATTATTATTTTATTATTTCAAGAGACAAAATGGACGCAATACAACTGTATTTCTATGACATACAAATTTTAGAATAAATAAAAAATTTTTATTGTAGTTTTAGAGAATTTTTTTCAAGTTAAAAATTATGAGGATTTTTTTTTAAATTTATTTTTTATTGAAATTTTAATACTTGAAAATTTATTTAAGCATGTCCAAAAGTTAAAATAGTATTTTTCTTACCTGGGGCAGGAAAATAAGAAATGTCTCAGATTACATGTAATTGTTGACCGAAGCGAAGCCGAGGTCGACAAACATGTGATCTGAGGCTTTCTTATTTCCTGCCCGTGGTGAGAATACTATTTTTCTCCTCGACGGAGGCGGAAAGCGGCATTTTCGTTTAGCGCAGCAAGCAGAAAATTGACGCTTTCCGCACGGAGGGGAGAAAAAAATTTTAATTACCTACATAGTTAAATTAATAAGAAAATGTTTTTCAATTAAAGGTATTTTTGTTTTTATCTATATTTTTATTGTTCAAACTTTTTTATTTTTTTAAATTATGAAAAAAAAATTTGACATAGTTAATTTAAGATAACAAATCTTAAAACAATAAAATCATTTTGAAAAATTTCATGATCCTGAATCAGAAAAATGTTCCAATAAAAAATTGATTTTGGCTTAATAGATTTTACTTAATTCAAATATTTTTTGTCTTTGTTCAAAACCATCTAATTTTTCAAAATGATTTTCTAGATTCAATATTTGTTCTCTTAAATTAACTATGTCAATTTTTTTTTTCATAATTAAAAAAAATTAAAAAGTTTGACCAATAAAAATATAGATAAAAACAAAAATACCTTTCATTGAAAAACAATAACTCTTCACAATTTAATTGTGTAAGTTATTTTATTTGAATTTCAAATAATTCCCAACTTCAATTCTCTGAAAACTGTTATATTGTTTTCAGTCAATTGTTTGAAAGTTGACAAAAAAATGTTGAAATTTAGAGACTGGTATTGTATCTAGCAGTACAAAAATGTTTTGCAACAATGAAAAATTTTTTTTTTACTTATTTTTAAAAGTAAAATATTTTCTAAACTTAAAAAAATTTATTAAATTAATATTATTATTATTATTTTAATGCTTCCATTTTATCAACATTTTAATTTTTCAATCAACATTATATCGAGACCAAATATTTATCTAGTCATAAAAAAAAAAATATTTATCGTAAATTTTTTCATGAGTATGCTCTTTCCTTTCTCTGATAAATATTTGAATCGAGTTTATTATTTATAGCAAAATCGATTATCAATGGTAAATATATATTTTTTATTGGCTTATGAAAATAATTTCCAATTATTTGATAAGTATGTATTCGTATATCGTATATAAAAGTAGGTAATATTTGTTTGTTGCGATCGAGTGTATTGATATTGGAATATGCGGATGACATATGATAGTGAAAAAAATAGCTGTAAGAATAAATAAATAAATAAAAAAAATAAAAAAAATAAAAAAAAAACCAAGTAAAAAAAAAGTATATACTGATAAGAGAAAATTGAAGATACACATGCGACTCACCAATGCCTGGGCAGCGCTCTGGTGCTGCAAGCAAGAAATACCCAGTTACTATAAAGTCGCAATATTTACTCAAGAGACTTGTTAGTAAATTAAGGACATTGTTTACGGAGTTTGTTATAATTTATGTTGATTCATTACTTTGTTAATTTAAATACGACCATAATAAACAACTGAATAAATAAATAAATAAACAAATAAATGAGAGAATAATAATAATGATGAATAAAAGATTGGGTTATTAGATGGGCTAGTATATATATAAGTATAAGTATAAATATAAATAATGTATGAGATTAAAAATAGTAAGCAAGCATAAGCTTTGACAGTTGATTATTACGTGCATTGAAAGTTTATGTATGTACAACTACGTTGATGGTGAGCTTTGCTAAAAGTTTTAGGTATTGATCAGCAAAGCGCTAAAGTATTGTCTGCTAACAGTAGAGCACAAATAACAACTTGAATATTCAAAATATAGATTAATCTATTCAATGTCTAACGAATAAACTTAAACAGCAAGCTTTGTATGATGGATACGTGGCACTAATGATAATAATAATAATAATAGTATTAGTAGTAGTAGTTGTAGTAGTAGTAGCAGTACTCAGTCGTATAGTGGCATCGAGTGGTAGCGCCCAACGTAAAACTAATAATAGCGGAATTCAAATTATCCTCGTCAACTTTTCGGTTTTTTAATTGCACGCCTCATAAGCGAAGCAATGAGGTTGTGCTCTATTCACGACATTTCAAAAAAAGCAGTTTTCTCGAAACTTAAATTGATTTTTTGTTATTTATATCGCACTTACAGGTTAATATGAGTGCACTTATATCAAGTCGAATAATTTGTCAGGCACATAAAATATATTTCAACAATTTTTTTGTTTAACATAGTAAATAATAACATTAAACATAATTTTTTCTGGACGTCCGTGTATGGATGCACAGTGAAAAATTTTGCGTCATTGCGTCAAAAAACTTAGTGTTAAAAATTTTTGTATTAAATATTTAACACTTTGATGTGTAAATTTAACACTTTTATGTGTAAAGTTAACACTTATTATGTTAAATCAACACAAAAATATGGTAAATATTTAACATAAAAATTTTTAACACAAAATTTTTTGACGCAATGACGCAAAATTTTTTAATGTGTGGGTGTATGTGGCAGGGAAATTGTTCGAAAAAATGATCGTACAGGAATAATTTTTTTTTTTATTATCTAAAGTAACACACGAAGGACTTTCTTAATTAATATGAGCGTTCAATTCACTGTCGTTAAATTATTATTTATAAAAAACTAATATATGACTGTGGATTTTTTTGTATATCTATCTATACATTTTATTATAGTATTTTTTTTCCTCACCTTAGAGTTATGGCGCTACTAAACCATAGCAGAGTTTTTGATTTTTATTTATATTTTATTTTAATCAATTTTATTGTGGAAAATGAGATTATGAGGCGTGCACTTTTGGATTTTCCAAACTTTTTTTCCTCTCATCCTGCCCGTTTTTAATATGATAGAGTAGATGACGGAAATCGATAATTTTTTTTTTCCAATGATATTAAAATTTATTTTCAATTTTTGATTATTACAAAATTAAATGGGAAAATGGATAAAGAATTTTTTTCAATCATAATAATTTCTCGGAAAATTAAAGAAAATTCGATAATTTAAGGTGTCCATCTTTAAAATCTGGTACAACTTTTGACAAAGTTAATATATCGAAAAATTTAAAAATACTTTTTTGTATAACATTTAATTTTCTTTAAAATATGTGTCACGCTAGTCATTAAGTTGTTCGTAAAACAAAATATGAAATTCTAAAGCTCGAAGATATTTTTTTTTTTTTTTCCATGAAATGTCAATATTGAAGGCTCGAGTTTTGACATGGTTATTATTTAGGTATGCTCTGACGAATTTTTTTTTTAATTTTTTTGATACATCTTGATGTGTACATATGGTAAAGCAAATGTATGTTTTACGAAAAGGTGTCCAATGTTTGACTACCGGGCAAAATATTCGGTAAAAAAAATCGAGATATATTTATAGGATGATTTGTGAGTATAATAATGTATAGAAATGCAAATCGTGTCGTCTCTTCTCTTCTGGGTTTGAAATTTCTCGTGGGATAGAAACTAGACGTATGTACGAATTTAAAAACTTTTTTTCCCATTATGATTATTATTATTATTTTCTTTTTGTCCTTCACTAAAGCCAGAGGCCTCCGTTGTGACGTATTTTAACGCTCGGTAGCTCCCCAATAGCATTAATTCATGCTTGTTTTACTGAGCTATTAATCTGGATATGAATTTGCGAACTTTCCGGGGGTTCACGCCCTCCAAAAGCTATTTTTCAAAACAATATTCAGGAGGAAAGATAAAAAAATAATAACGGAGACGGATAAGTATAAGTATAAATATAAATATAAATATTAATATATAAATGTATAGGTGTATGGAGGAGTGAAGAATGACGTTGAGTGAAGGGCGATACAGAAAAAATTAATAAGCATAAAAACCGTGAGGGAGAAATTTTCCTGAGACAATATACCGCTCGCTGACGATTTTCGAAAGCAAACTCTCTGTGACAATGTAGTCAGCTATGTAGTCAGCAGGAAAGACGTGGGAAGAACAAATGCTGATATCAGCTCCTGTCCACCTTTCGGTCCAGTCAACATTCAGAATAGAGTATTCAGAGGCGTGTATCAGCGTTTCCTTTTCATCCCTTTCTTTCTTCTCTCCCTTATGGTCATTTTTCTTGCATTTTTATGTTTTTTTTTTCTTTTCTGCTTTATTTATTGAAAATTATAATTTTTATTTTTGTTATTAATAAATATACGTAGGTACATCTTTCAATAATTTTTCAGAAAAGTTGACGGCGAATAAATGAACCGATCGATGGATGAACTACTTAGATGATGATAATTAAGTAACGGGTAAAATGGTTTGTTATAATATTAGTTACATCTACAAGCTATCGATGAAAGATGGAAGCAAGCGGGTTATGTAGCGTAACAACTACAAGAACTGCTTCTACTGTATTGGTGGTTTTTATGCTGGTTTTGAAGGAACTGAACTGAATTTTATTTTAAGAGTTAGTTTTTTTCCGATGAAAATAATTTATATTAAAAATATATTTAAAAAAATAAATAATATATAGAAAATAAATTTAAATAGCTAATTTTTGACCAATTTTCGTATATATTTTAATTATAATTGAAACATATTTTAAACTATATAATAATTTATTAAAAATATTATATAGTTAAAATTAAGGGTGTATACTTTTATTTTTAAAGTTTTTTAATTATATACAGAAAGAAAAAATTCTGTGAAGGAGAACTATCTTTCTTGACTCAAGACAATATTTGACAAAAAAGATTCCCTTCACTGGAGTAAAGTTTTATTAAACTAAAAAAATTTCTTTTTGTTCCAAAACAATTTTGGTCTTTTCCAAAAAATATTTTTTATTAAAATTAACTTTTTTTTCTGTGTAGTTAAAATATATAAAAAAAATTGGCTATTAAAAATAAATTTATATTGATATTTTTATACAGTCGTATATATTATTCATTTATTTTTAAATGATACTGAAATTAAGAGACTTCTGATAATTTTTATAATTTTTTATCAAATGAATTATTAAAAAGAAATTTTGTGAAAAAATTCCACTTTTAAAATTGTAAAATTTTGATAAAATAATTTATTTGTTAAATAAAGTAAAAAATTATCAAGTGTCTGTTGATATTAGTTTAATATTTTTAACATAAATTTCTTTCATGGACTTAGAGATTAGTTGGTAAATGAATATAAGTAAGTAAGTAGGTTAGTACGAAAAGATGGACTCACCGATGGCATCAGCTGGTCAGTCGACCTGACCCTTGTGACTTTATTTCTGTACAATATCCTCTTGACGAGTTTCTCCATAGGTTGATTGAATTTCATGAACCCGACGTAGGCCAGGTAGAACCCGAAGAGTACTAGTGCCTCGTACCAATGTATAAAGTTGTCGCGAAAGAAGTAGATTAAAGTTAACAAGCTGACACTGTAAAAAGTGCAATCGCGGAAGAGCGGCCACCACGTAAGTGACAGAACTGTTTTCGAGAAAATCGCACACATCCCAATAACAAACAAAATGTTAAACACCGCAGACCCGACGATGGTGCCAATTCCCACGTCGTCAAAAGAAACAAACACCCCTATCACCGAGGTGAAAAGTTCTGGAGCTGAGCCTCCGGCTGCCATGAAAGTCGCGCCTGCCACATCGTCCGCGATTTCAAATTTCTCGATAATAACATCCAACGCGGGGACGAAAAACTCGTCGCAGACTATCGCAAGTGCGACAAACATATAAACGACCCCCAGGACGTGAAAAATCACCGCCCCGCGTCTCCTTTCCTCGAAGGTGAACAGATCCTTGGGGAACAGGGGTGTCTTTTCCACCACGGTGGTGTTGTCCTCGGCCCCGTGGGGAGTAACGAAGTGGTGCCGATGATGGAGAGTCGCATTGTACCCATCGTACCCAATGTCCAGCTCGCTGGGATGCCCATTAGAGGAGTTTACGCTGGAGATATTGGAGCCGAACCCCTGAAGCGTTGCCGCGGGCGAGGCCGAGCTTGGAACCAGCGCTGGGCTATTATTGGGCACAGGACGGTGGGCCCCAGTGGAAGAGGTCGACGCTGCGATCAGCACCACCAGAGCTACCATCGTCCTCCTCAGAAGTGAAAGGATGCACCCCTTCATTTTCACTCCTGCTTCGAATGCTCTAATTGCCTCAGTAGTCACGACATTACCTCTCGCCCACTGTTTTTTATTTCTTATTAGTTTTTTTTTATCTATTAATATTAATACTATTATTTACACTGATGCCGCAGCATCCTCACTTGGACACGCAGCCACTATCTCTCACTTATCTTATCACCGCACTCACTCACACACTTCTCACTTATACTTATATATATATATATATATATCTATAAATGATAAATATATAGGAGTAAGTTATCCAGCAACTAAGTTGCCCTGTGTCACGGTGGCCCGAGACTCATGTCGACTCGCGCTCGCATCCTCCTCTTTTGCGGTAATAGGCGCGGCACTGGTTCTTCTGTGCGACCCTATTAAACCACGACACACTCAAGAGCACCTTTCAGATATTTTTTTATTTATTTATTCGCTGACTCCGTTATTTCATTTTATTCAAACTAGAACGAATTTTTCCCAACAAAATTTAAAGGGACGATAAATATTATTGATATTTATATAATTCCAGAAGAAAAATTGGAAAGAGCGACTCCACACGTCTGTAAGCTGCAGAACAGCCAGAAGGTGTATTTGTGATATGATAATGAACGAAAGGCTTGTTGTCACGTTTGACACGCTGACTGGTGTATTGACACCATCTACAGGAGCAGCAGAACGGCGTCGCCGCCGCGATGCTCGCCCGCTGCACACTGGAACATACCACCCTCTACTATTCTCAATATTCAGTTCTCAGTTATCCGCGCCGTTACGGTTACCATTCTCACTCCCGTAGAGCTTTAGTCCTCCTTCCTGTCTTCCTCGAGCGCCCTCTGTCGATCTAAAAATCGGCGCATTCTCCTCGTCCTCGTCCACATCATAATCATCTTCCTCTCGCTCCTCCGTCTTCGTCCTTACTAATTTTCAGTCCTTGTTTTTAGTCTTTGTCTAAAAGGGTAACTAAACTTGGGGGTGGAAGTGAGAGCCGGTTGTCGAGGATTTCTGCGCATGATCTGCTCGTTGTAAATCCACGAGCCCCGAGCGGGACGGAAAAAGCTCAGGTCTGTTGAGTAAAAAAAGATGTAGTCTCTGAACGATATTGTAACGCGCTTGCGTTATATACCAAAAGCACGCAAGACAAACCCTCTGGTACAAACCGGGGCCCGCTCGATATTCGAGAGTCGACTCCAACTAACTACAACGTTATTTTATACCACCACATGTCCACGATACACGTTTTTCAGTCGAACCTTAACTTAACTTTAATATATTTTTTCAGTTTTTCTTTTTTCTCTTTTTTCTCGTTGTATTAGGAACCAGCTGAGACAGAGAAAGAACGAGGAAGAGGAAGTGTAAGCTGCTGGATTTGTTTCTTTACTTGTCTACGTGTGCGTTGTCCTCGTCTTATGAATTAATGCGTGCTTAGGACTGAGACAGGGAGGTAAAGTCCCTGGTCCCTAGTCATACATCACTGACAATCTATCTGTCTTAACTTTTCACTTGTTCAACAAAACAGATGATACTTTTTTTTTTTTTATTTATTATTATAGATTTAAAATTATTATCATTATTTTAACTATTGATGGATAAGATATTACCTAGAGTATTGTATTCATTATTGTGGTTTTGTGGCGAACCATTGTGCTTGATGAATCGGTATCTGAAACTAATAATAATAGAGATAGAGATAAAAAAAGGGCTTTATTGATATTAGATTGAATATAATTGCGTGTGAATGGAAGTTTATGCCTATTGGATCTTTTTGTTAGGTTATTTCCAGTCTGGGTGGACACAATGACAATTGCCGGAAGAATCATATCACGATCTTGTGTTATTGGTTACATATGTGGAAAGACTATTGAGAAAAAGGAGAGAGAAAATTGTGATGGGCAATCGATATTTGTCATTGTTGACATAACTGTACAGTGTATAGGCACATATGCTCTATACAGTTAGTACAGTCTCTTACTGATCAATTCGAGTGAGAGATAATAATATCTCTACACTCGATTTGCTGTAATTGCTCTGATAATTATGTCGGTGTATGTGTGTGCTTATAAATGTGAGGGAGAGAGAGATTCATCTGAAGATTATTGATTTGGTCGGCTATTTGTCAACAGGCCGAGCTTTTTTGTTCTTTAAGTTTTCCAATAACCATTATTCCGCCGAGATTGCTCCTTCATTTTAGTCACTGAGCTCCTTTCGAGTCCGGAAGTAATTACGGCATTTGCTATTAGCTTTTAGACTGATTTATGCTTCCAGAGGAATTTTTTAGTAAGTCATTTTATGAAGAATGCTGGATGATTTAAACTTCGGGCGAGAAATTTATTGATTTTATATAAGCAACGTGGTAATTTACCGACAGAGCTTTCAGCGATTCTTGATAATATGGCTGAGCTTTTTAATCATCTGCGGCTGACTGAAATCTACTGTAACTACTTAGTCCAATTTTTTTTTTTATTGATAATAATTAGGAATAAAATTAGTTGATGATTTCAAATGGCGATTATAAAAATTGTAAGATGATATTTCATTGATTCTAATTGGATTATTATTAGAAATTCTTTCAATGGTAAGTTATCGATAGAAAATTAAGTTGGTGTGTAAATTATTGTCAACTTATCGGTAGTTGCAGATATTTTTAGATTTAATTATTTATAACAGATATTCATCAATGCAATTATAAATCTATATTGATCTATCTCTAGATATAATCTTTATAAATTTTCATACGTCAAATCATTTCAAAATAATTACAGTAAATCAATACAATTTAAACACAATCATAAATTTTTAATAAAATGGTTTTATGAGAGAGTAAAAACATGTTTAATTTGTTTAGGTATGAAATTTTAGATTTTTTTACTGTGGTAGTGTAGAATGTTTTAAATTTAAAAACTGAAAATTTTTATTGTATAAAATCCTAAATTTTATTTTGACAATTTAAAATTTAATTTTACACTTCTAAAAACAACTATTTGTTAAATGAATATTAAAAATCTTAGAAATTTAATTTGAAACTAAGTTTTTCCAGAAAAATTTTTTTTTGTGAACAAAATCAAACATTTCTAACTTTTAACAAAAAATTTATATTGAATTTAAAATAGAAATTACTTTTAAGCAAATTGCTACTCCACTTTTTAAGGTAAGGGTCGTAAAAAATTTCAATAAAAAGTGATACCTGTTTCATAAACATATTAAAATGTTTTAATGACTTATGATGCAATTTATTAGCAAAAGTGAGTTTTTCGCTAGCTAAAAAAAGCAGCAAACCATTAAAATATTAAGTTTTATAAATTTGATTTTATATGATGAAGATTTTTATTTTCGGTAAATTTCATTTAGTAAACTAGATTATACTTTATAGCGTCTAACGCAATTTCCAACTTATTTAAAAGGTATTAATTGGAAAAAAAAAATTTATTTAAAATCATGACATGAACAAAAAAAAAGGGATTGTTATTAAATTTGGCATTATTATTGAGTGTCAAGTATTATTGTGGTTCTTCCAGGCAGTTATGAAATTTCATTCGATTTTGGTGAATCAAATTGTATTTTAAAATCCATGATTGTCACTTATCAATGTACCTCAATCGTACATTGAATCGGTAAAAAAAGAGCAAGATGGGATCAGGAAAAAACTAAATAAAATTGAGAACTTGAGAACGTCGATCGATAACCAGAATCGAGCATTGTCTCAATCTTTTTCCGCGGTGTCTTTGCTTTGTCGTATTCTCGGGCATAACGAGAATGTCTTTCGTTGATGTGAGTATAACGTATACGATAACGAGAAGAATTGCTGACCGGTTGATATATGTGAACAGATATCGGTATATTAAAACCGTTCCAACCCCAGTTCGAACCCGGAAGTCCAATTGTAATAATATAACAACAACCGAATTAATTTGTTTTGTTTTATAGAGATTAGATGTATTTACTTTTTATTGCTCGGCTCATAGCTTGTGCTTATGATTCATAGATTGTAATGAATCATCAATTATTTTTCTCCAAGCACTCACATTAATCATCATTATCGGCATCCTATCATTATTTAGATAATACGACATTTTTATTAATTATAATTAAACTTAAGCTGAAAAATCTAACTCAATTGTGATGTATTTTTTTCTTTTTTTTATGATCATAGTTCTAATTTAATGTAGTAAAAAGTAATTGAGACAATATGTAGCAATGTTTTTGTAAGAAAAAAATCTCATTCAAAGTTATGCTGGAAATCGCCAAGAGAGGGCGAATTGTCGCTGAACTATCTTGTTATAAGAGAGTTAAAATTTTCTTATTTAAGTTATCTAAGTTTTAATAAACTTTTTAATATTATTTGATCTTCTCATTTGACATTTTAATAAATGAAAAAATTAATGAAAATTTACTTTTATCGAGATATTTAATTTTTTGGAGCAAGAGGCTGAATTTTCTCAAAAAAACAAGATTTTATTGACTCAAATAAATTTTCTTGGATCACGATACGTATTTTTTAAAGCAAGAGAATTAATTTTGTTGGAATAAGTGAAATTTCTTGTGTAAAAAAATTTTTTTTGATTAGCAAGAAAAACATTTTCTTGTCTAAAGTGAAGCTTTTTTCTGTGTAGGTTATTATTCCTAATAAGTCAAAAATTTAAAAGCCATAATTTTTTCAAGATAGTTTACCAAATATCATCGTCCGTCCTATATAATAAAATTTTATAACATTTGATCCAGTTATCGGCATCATTACCATCATAAATTAAAAATTGTTGAATCGATTAATTTTTTTAACAGATATTTAAAGATTATTCCATCTTGTTAATTTGGGTTTTTATTTTATGAATACTCGTGAGGTAAAAAAGAGAATGCGAATTAATATTCTGCAACCTGTTAATAATTGTAAAGCGTCTGGCTTGAAGGGGGTAACGACTCTTAATATGACCCTGCCAAGAACGTTAAATGATTCTCATCCATGAATCACCGGCGATGCAAAAGCTTTATAACCAGAACTTTTCGCCAATCTTCTTTATAAGTATTATATCTCATGAAGCGATAAATAAAAGTATAAAACTACTGAATTGATAAATAATAATTAGTCGAAATAAAATTTTAAATT